CCAAAGGCACCCAGGAGGGCAAAGACTTGCCTTTAAGAGGTGTTTCTCCTTGGCGGGCAACAGCTCTGCTCAAGTTCCCCAGGACCGCCCTCCCAGAATTTTCCGCAGCTGAGAACAGACACACATTCTTGACTGGCTTACTCAAGGACAAATCGTTACAATGAACACGTGTGCCTCAAACATCAACTTTTACTTGAAGCACAGGTTTTTAGAAACTCAGCAACACATCTAAGTTAGTCCTGAAGATCTCCTGGGCTGCTGGCTTCTATACCCCTCCGTTTTCATCTACTTGCACCAAGGATTTCTTTCATGAAGAAGGAAAACAAGAGTCACCCTAAAAACTTGCAAACCTTGAGCCATCTATTAACACCAGCAAAAGTCTCAGAGTGGAAGGCGACAATGAAAGATTAAAATGCCCACTTACGAGACAGTGCATTTATGATACTCTGATCTCTGAAAGGATGCCTCAGCCTTGTTTCTTTCAAACAGGATCAGACAGCTTGGGTCCTGCCCAAGCTCCTAGCCTGTATTTTGTGGAAAACGGACCGGCCAATGTCCCACACACATCTCTACCACACTCAAAGAAGCCTCCTCTCAAGAAACCTTCAGTGCCTCCCCATCACGGCATTTAAGACTCTCATCAATTCTGCCCCAATCAACCTTATCTCCAAGTAGGGAGGACACAGGAGAGATGTCAGAGAGGCAAAAAATAGAAACATGAAAAGATGCGCCCCACATTTCTCACTGAGTTTTTGACTCTTATTTTTGATATGGAAGTCCTGACTCCATTTAGAATTGATTTTTGTAGGTTAGGTAGGCATCCGACGCTATCTTTTCCCATATGGATGACCTTTTTCCAAGCTTGACTGATTCAGTGGTCCCTCCTTCCGCCCCTGCCTGACCGGCTACCTCCCCATCCAGTCATGCTCTACACACATGTGCGTCTGTCTCTGGCCTTCATTTCACGCCAGTGGCTGGTCTCTTGATTCCCCCACTGCATCCTTATTATCTTAACAACTGATTTCCTGCAGGCCAAGTGTCTGCTCTTTGTTTTTCTTCTCCAGATGTGTCTTGGCTATTTGTCCTTCTTCCCCCATCAATTGCATCAATTTCCATGAAGATCCATGTAGGCATTCAGCTTGGAATGACATCGAATCTGTGGTACATTTTAAGGAGAATCGACTATTTCCACAACAGTGACTATTCCTTTGTGTCAGGGGTGGCAAACTATGGTCTGTGTCTGTTTTTGGGTAGTCTTCTTAGAACACAGCACAGCCAAATAGTTATGTACATCTTGTCTGTGGCGGCTCTTGTGTTAAATGGGAGAGTTGAGAGGTGGTGAATGAGAACCCTCTGGACGAAATATTTCTTCTCCAGCCCATTGCGGGGAAAGTCTGCTGACCTCTGCTCTACATGAATGTAGTATATATTTCTCCATGAATTCAGGCTTTTTTTTTTTTTTAACACTCTCCTCTTAAGGTTATTAAAAGGTTTTCCTTTAACATAATACAAATTTTTGTTGAATTTATTCCTTGATATGTGATATTCTTTGATACTGTGGTGAAAAAGTATCTTCCTAATTAAATTTTCCAGTTGTTCCTGGCTGGTGTATATTAGCAAGGCAATGGACTTTTGTAAATGATTCTTCTATTTGCCCATCTTGTTCAATTCTCTTATCCTTTGTAGGAACTTGTGGATTTCTAATGTACACAATATCGTATCAGCCAATAATGACAGCTTTAGCTCCTCCTTTCCTGTCTCTCTGCTTCTACTTTTTTCTTGCCTCCCACTGGTTAGAATGTTGAGCAGAAAAGTGTTGAATGCCTGTGTCTGATTTTAAAGAGAACAATTCCAATGTTTGTCTATTTAGGACCATATTTGCTTTTGGTGATTCTCTATGAGTTAAAGACGTCATCTCTTCCTACTTACCAAGAGTTTTAAACATGAATGAATATGGACCTTTATTAGTACTTTTCCTGTATTTGTTGAGTTGACCAAAGGGTTTTTCTCCTTAATCTGTTTAGGGGATTCATCGTATTAATGGATTTTTCTAATCATAAAGAATCCTTGCAAATTCAACATGGTTAAAATGTATATTGTTGGATTATATTTACTTACATTTCATTCAGGATTTTTGCATCTATACTTATGCATGAAACTGGCCTGTGATTCTTCCTCTTGGTAGTATCTTTGTCTAGTTTTGGTATTAGGGACATTGGTCACGTAGAATGAGTTGTGAAGTGTTTTCTCTTTCTCTGGTGTCTGGAACAGTTTATGTAAAATTGAGATAATCTTTGAAAGTTTGGTGGACCTTAGCTACAGAACATCTAGACCTATACTTTCATTGTGGGTACATTTTAAATAACTGCTTTCATTTGTTTAAGAGAGATAGGATTTTCAATTGTTTTTCTCCCTTCATCCATTCTAGTATGTTCCATTTTCCTAGATATTTGTCCGAATTGTGGGCCTATGTTTTTTATATTATTCACTTATCTTTTACATTTCAAAGTTATCCATAATTCTATCTCTTTACTTTTATAATTTTCTGTGTGTGTATCTTCTCTTCATTGGTCCCACCAGAGCTATGTCTATTTTTTTTTTTTTTTTTTAGTTTTTTTCAAATAACTAACTTTTTGCTTTACTGAGCTTCTCTCTATACACTGGAGATTAGATAGCTGTCAAAACAAACTAGAATTCCAAGCAGTTCATGGATGAATTTAGCAGTATGACTTAAGGTTAAAAAAAAAAAAAAAAAAAAAAAGGGCCCAAAAGTTTTTATAATTACTGATGCCCAAGGATCTGGAATTTCACATCATGACAAATCAAAAACAAACAAACAAGAAAAAACCCTCAAAGATATAGCGTTCTATTTAAATCAATAGTTGTAAAATGCTAATCCAGCTTTGAAAGCCTTGGACCCATAGAGGTAAAAAAATTGTGATGCTTCTCCATGATATTAATCAAGCCAAGAGTTTGAAATGATTGTTAATGTCGATGTTAATTCAAAGACTCAAGAGAATAAAAGCAATGGTTATTATCAAGGTAACAAATGTAAGAGCTGATGATTTCAGCTTTTAACCCAACCTTCCATCGTGCAGGGACAGCCACACTGTGGCACTGCTCTGCTGGGGGCTCACGTCTATGGATCCTTCACTGCCGAGAGCTGCCCTGGACCTGGACTGTTGTGCTTCCTGCACCTGTTCGCCTTTCCCCCATGGTTGACAAAGTCCCACTACCTGCCATCAAGACCACTTTGCTACTTCCTCCACAAAACATCTCCTGATCTTACTAGAAAGTGATTTCTCTTGAGGACCTCATGTGTCTGGCTCATCTCCTTTGCCAATCTGTAAGCTCTGAGAGCACACGACAGCGTCTAATTATCCTTGTAGTCTCTGTAGGACCAAACATAAGGCCTACAATTCAACTCTCCACTGAACGGAGATACTTACTGATGTTCTACTGTATGCCAAGGTCTCTTCTATCGGGTGGGACATAATACAGCTGTGGGATATATATATATATATATATAAATATATTTTATTTTATTTTTTATTTTTAGATTTCATTTATTTATTTGACAGAGAGAGACCCAATGAGAGAGGGAACTCAAGCAGGCGGAGAGGGAGAAGCAGGCTTTCTGCCAAGCAGGGAGCCTGATGTGGGGCTTGATCCCAGGACCCTGGGATCATGACCTAAGCCGATGGCAGACGCTTAATGACTGAACCTCCTAGGTGCCCCGATATGTGATATGTTTTGTTGCTTAAACTTTCTCTACAAATTACTGGGATCAGTCAGATCCCTAAAATTCCTTCATGAAGTTTCTGAGTTCCATCTAGGATTAGTAGTGCTAGCAAATAAACGACTCAGCTTCGCTATAGTACCACACACTAGCAACTAAACAGTAACTATGGGCCAAAAAGGGAAGTTTATATTACGGACAAGATTTTCTATTAGTTTAAGAAAGTGTATAATCTATTTCAGACTTTCATCCAAAATGGTTGAAAGAGAATAATGTTTCAGCTATGCGGGAAATTCTATTTGTCTATTACATATGGATGTGGATATACTCTCTTATACCCAAATAGGAAATCTAAACTTAGAGAATAAGCCAACTGGATAAATATGCAGGTTCTAGGAAATTTTGGTTGTAGGTAGGTGACAGAACAATAGAAATATTCCCTTAAAATTACCCTAGTCTTTTTTTTTCTTTTTAGATTTTTAAAAAATCTTATTTTAAGAGAGAGAGAAAGAGAGTGCAAGCATCGAGGCAGGGGGAGAGACAGAGAAGCAGGCTCCCCACTGAGCAGGAAGCCTGATGCAGGGCTCTATCCTGGAACCCCGAGATCATGACCTGAGCTGAAGGCAGACACTTAACCAACTGAGCCACCCAGGCGCCCCCCAAATACCCTATTTTTAAATCAGTGATTTTTACCTTATTTTGTACAGTAACCTGTATGGTGAAAGAAAGGCAGGGGAGAACGGCATTATGTGGAGTGTGATCTTTTTTGAAGGAAAGGAAGAATGTGAAAATTTAGAAACATTAAAATGAATAACATATTAATAACTGAGGTGCATCATGAACCTTAAAGAGTTACTCAGAAAATTCAAATGAGATTTATCATTTATAGTAAAAATTAAATGGTATTTATTTGCCAAGTCTCATGTTGAGACAGAGACAACCACTGAGCAGAAACAGACCACTCTCTCTGGTGGCCGCACTCCTTGCTACCAGGTGGCCGGTAAGCGGGGGGTGATGTGGTGGGGGGATCTCCTATCTGTACCCTGGTGGATGGCAGTTCCACACTCGGAGCAATAGCCTAGGTTAACAACAACAACAAAAAAAAGGCCTACAACAATGGGGAAAAGTGCTCTGTGTTCCAGCAAAAGGACCCGTGGCCCTGCTGAAACCCAGGTGTAGGCTGGGGACCTTCCACTGGGCTGGCATTAGTACCCGCTGTTTTCCCACCCCTCAGGGACAGCGGAGACACTGAGATCTGTACCTGCTTCTCAGCTTCTTTCAGGAGCTTCTGGAACCTCTCGTCTTCCAGGACACCCAGCGGAAGGTCAGTCTCTCCCTGAGCTTTTAGCTCCTCCAGCTTTTGCCTCAAGCCCCTGAGGGCCTGCAGCTCATCGTTGAGCCGGCTCTGACGGGTTAGAGACGCCTGGAGGTCCAGTTCGAGGTCTAGAGATGTGCGCCCTGGGTGTTCTTGAGCTGTTCTTCTCAGCACTGGCTGGCAAACCGTCTGCAGGGTTAGAAAACAACACGACACCCTTACTATGCGGGCACTCATCATTCTGCCCTTCCTCCTCCCCGGCACACAAGAGCACGCACTTCCCGGCTCCCTTGAAGGGAGGCACCGCTGGCCAGGTGACCTGCTCTGGCCAGTGAAAGGGGAGTGGCAGTGATGTGTACCACCTCCAGCAAAGCCTTTCCAGGCCAGTGTGAGATGGGTGCATTCCTGTCCCCTGCTAGGAGGACAGCAAAGATTCGGAGGTGGAGGTCCCATCAGTGTGGGTCCTGAGTGAAGACAAAATGAGCACAGCATCTAGCCAACCTGCAGTGAACACCGAGGTAAGTGAGAAATGTTTATTTTAAACGCAGAGATTTTTTAAGTTGTTACCCTAATGCAGCCGCTCCTAGCCTGGCCAATTTAGAACACAGAGCAGCCCCTGTGAAACAGACATGCGAGAAACTGACACTTAATCTATTTCAGGACCAGGGACTATTAACGACCCCCAGCACCCGCCCCTCTTGTTAGCCATGATTTCTGGAGGTGCCCACCAGAATGCAGCTGGTCAATCTGATTCTGAGCCCCTGCTCTCATCCATATGGTTAAATCCCAGCTCCTTCCTCGATTTCCCATCGTCTAACATCCACTTTCACCTGTGAATCACTGGTGCTCCTCCTGGGTCAATCTTACCCATTTAGCGAGAAATCATTATTGTGTTATGTGTGACTGAATGTCTGCCGGGGTGGGGCAAGGGGTGGCAGGCCAAACCCCGGGAAGAAAAGCTCTACTCATTAATCTTCAAAACTTGGAGCCGTGAGCCATGCCACAGGAAGTCAGGGAAAGGAGAGATCACACAGGGCCGGTCACGCTTCCTTACGGAAAGGAAGTCAAAGAAGGCTGGGTAAGATTGCATCAGCGGAGGGGAACAAGGAGGGTATTTTTTGCCCAGATGGTTGGCAGTGGGAATGGAAAATGAGGTTACTAATAAAAACAGGTACTTTGGGATACGAGAGGAGGGACTCGAATTTGAGAAGTACTTGGGCTTGAAGATCTGGAATGACGGTGGTGCTCATGACAGATGGTGGGGTTGGGTGGGAGGGTTTGCTGTCCTACTCCCTGTTCCAGAGCCCTCGCCCAGGGCTGAAGAGATTCTACTGGCTGCTCCTTGTCCCACACATACCGCTGTAACATTCTCTAACATTCTTACTAGGTTCCCTCTGTTCAATCTCTGCTCTAACAAACATTACACAGCAGGATCACGGAAACACACACTCTCTTTGGCTGTATTACTTGTTTTTCAGAATGAGAAATCCTTCCTAGTGGCTATGTAGTCCTTTCTAAGGACTCCGATGTGCAGCAGTGTGCTGGCCAACGTTTAACAAGTGGCTCTGAGGGTCCATGGGTGGGAAAAGAAGCATGGGTTGTAGGGTCTGCCGATTTCTATGGTGTAAACACTCCCTCGGTAACTGTTTCCGTGCAGTCAACCGGCTGAGCCCAAGCAAGGAGCCCGGTCTCCTTCCTTCCTTTCACCCACCGCACATTCCACAGTCCTGCGTGCTCCCTGAGTGCTTCCTGCAGACTGGGGCTTCCGGCAGGCGGCCCACACAGGGCTTTGTGCTTATTTAAACAACACATCTCTGCCCAACAGCTTAGTCGATTACTAGGACACAAATCAGTAGTAAGCAAATAATTTTCATTAGCATTTCAGCTATAAGGAAGCAAGAATTGCTGAACTACTTCAACAGTCCAACCTTTTAATTTGTTTAAATATTCTCTCCAACTTATCTTTTAAGGCTCATTCAGAGACCTACGTCTTCCGGGTAAACTGGAGCGTTCCCAAAAGTGTCTGTTTGTTAAGCAAGCAGCTAATACTGTGTACTCCTTTATTGGAATATCCGCCCCTCCGAACAGGTCCTGGGTGTTACACTCTTGCTGGAGAGCCGGAGATGGTGTGGGACACAGCACCATCAAACCCACTCAGACAGTCCCTCTTCCATCGCTACCGCAAAGTGAATTTCCTGGCTTCCTTTTCACAGGATCGAAACCAGTGCTGAATGGCTGCTCTCAGGCACCCTCTGCCCCCAGTCTCCACACGAGATCTGTGTCTCTCTGGAATAATGGTGGCTTCACTCAGTGGCCCACGTTGAGCAACGACGCTCAGCTGTTCTGGTATTTACGCTTCCCAATCTGTGACTCTGGATTGGGCCGAGATAGGGAGATGCTACTGGGGAATACATACCCTTTTGACCCTCAGACTGCGCCGCTCAGTGGAGTTTCTCACAAACAGGGATTTTTTAGCCAAGGTTGAGCTGTCACTGTCACTTCGATTCAACTGGCAACAAAGGATTAAAAAAAAAAAAAAAGAAAGAAAATCACTGCATAACAGAGCGCTAGTGGTTTACACGTGAGAAGTTTATCAGGTGAAAGCAGGCAGCGAGGAGTTTGTTTCTTTAAGAAAATCCTCCCCAGACAAGCTTTTCTCTGTTCTATGCTTTTTCTTAAACAACTAAGTTTCTCTTACATAATTTCAACAATTGCCTGTTGGTGGTAGTTATCAGAACTACTGCATTAAGATAATTATACATACTTGGAAATACAATTATCCTTTGATTTTTTAGCTAATTTGCATTTCTCATTTTTAAAAAGGAAGGTCTGGATAACATAGAGGCTTATAACCAGGTCAGAGCTGAACCACAGTTTAGAACCAACTAGGACGCCCTTGGCCCAGCCAGCCTGTCCTTACCCCTTCACCTGCTTCAGGTCTCGGCTGAAATGGCACCTTCTCAATGACGTTTACTCTGAACCCTGCTTAACCAGAGACCTTTGTTTTCACCATGCCCCATCCCCCTTAACTTGCTCGACTGTTTTCTAGAGACTCTGTCCCCATCCAAGACATTTCATAACTTCACGTTTACTGGCTCAACTCACAAGGACGTGAGCTCTGCAAGGGCAGGGCTCTGGGGCTCTTCTGTTCACAGAGGAGTTCCAACCAAGTGTCTAGAAACATGCTTAGCAGCAAGTGTTCATAAAAGCGTCGCCTGAACTGAATGAATAAATTTATAAATCTGAAAGTATTTTCTTAACCATTTTATAATTATTAATCTATCTTACTGTAAGTCATAACTACTTCTGGAAGTACAACTTGGCAAACTGATGCAAATCCCACCATATTCTCTACAGAACTCTGAATCCGATTCCAGGTCTAGAGGCATTATTAAAAGACGATTTGTCTTCGAAAACCCAAAGCGCAATTTTGGTTCTGCGGGAATAACGTGCTTGGATGATGTATGGCAGAAATACAAAAATATTCAAGTCTCAAGCCACTTGAAGTTTCTAGATACAGACTGGGGTATAAATATACTCAGAAGCCAGGTCCTTAATTTCATGTTTGCCGAATAAACGACTTTGAGTTCATGAGCCATCAAATTTAGGAAAAGGAAAAACACACCCACATTGAGAAGCCCCCTATGAGTGTGGTATTTCGGGTCTATTTCATAGCAGTTCTAGCCACGTGTGTCTGCAGTCCGGAGTCTTTAGACTGCCATACACGGTCTCTCATCCGGGGTAGGGACACTCGCTGGCGCGAGGGCAGGGCCCCGGCCCCCTTACCCGGCAGATGTACTGGTTGCGCTCTCCCGGGGAGAAGGTCTGCGAGCGCACGATCACGCTGCTCCGCACGAACGGCCGCTGCCGAGCGCTCAGGCCGCTGCGGTCTTTAGGGCGAACCGCCACCCCGGAGTCACCGGCCTCCTCCGTGTTGGTCTCTTTATCGACCTGAAACCGAAGTCAGAAATTTGTCAGGAGCGGACGCGCTTGGATACCGGTGTCCTCCTTTCTTCTAAGTACAAAAAGGAATATCCAATCTACAACGCAGCCTTGGCCAGCACTGGGGCTACTGGGGAGAGCAAGGCTTGGTGTTACTCCGGATGGGAGCCTGGGCAGAGGGCTCTCCACGGAGTTAGGAAATGACCTGCTGAGGGGAGGACAGGGTCACGTGTAAATGGAAGAGCTGCCTTTAACCCATCAGACCCCCACCAGGAAAGCTGAGCTTTACAGAGGGCAAATGTAGTTCTGCAGAAAATCTTGTCTAAGAATAGTTCATCATTAAACACTGTTCAACATCCCATTAGATTTTTCCCCCCAGAATAATGATATAAGTAATTACATATAAGAAAATGAAAATATACTACAAGTTACAGTTTTCCATAGAATATGCAAGAATATATATTTGAAAATAGCAACATTGTTGAAGCTGAGTTTGGATTTTAAGCACCTCTTTGGAAATGTAACAAAAAATAAAATGTAAGTAAAAACAGAAGTTTCTCAAAATACAACTTCTACAGGCATTGACAGAGGTTTACTGTTGGTCTTATTGCATAAAAGGATTCCTTGCCTGTCTCGCGCTGGTTTATTAAAGGAAGTCTCTGGTCAGGGTACAATACTACTTCCCCCAGGAATAAAGAACTGGAATTTCCTAGACCCCATTACCAACATCCCAAGTCTGCCAAAATCCTCCAACCTGAAAATGTTTCCTCCCTGTCTGGACGTGATATTCAACAAGCCTCTCTGTCAAGGAGCAAAGTTACTGCTGCCTAACTTGGCCGAGCCACCTGTGACGTTCCAAAGCAGACAGCAACCAGAACCCCACCTCACCAAGAGGAACTTTAAACCTTTACTTCAGGTTTGAAATGGAAATAAAACTCACATTTACAAAACTTAATACAATTAACTAGTTCTCCTGGAATTTGGTAGTCATTCTGGAAATGCTTTTTAGTAAGTATGCTAAATGTTAGTTAGTGAATATTCACAGGACATTTATAGAGATTTAAATAGCACTATTCATCTTTTTTTTTTTTTTTTAAGATTTTATTTATTTATTTGTCAGAGAGAAAGGGAGAGCGAGCTAGCGAGCACAGGCCAACAGAGTGGCAGGCAGAGGCAGAGGGAGAAGCAGGCTCCCTGCTGAGCAAGAAGCCGGATGTGGGAGTCGATCCCAGGATCCTGGGATCATGACCTGAGCAGAAGGCAGCCACCCAGCCAACTGAGCCACCCAGGTGTCCCAGCACTATTCATCTTATATAAAATTTAAGTGAGGAATGAATATTTGGGGCCCACTGGAGAGTTTTACAGCCTGATCACTGCCTATTTCCACAAATGTGTCTGACGACCAGCTTTGCACAAAATCCTAAGGCGGGATCACAGCCGAGACAGATATGGGCGCTGGGAGCGCGCGGCTGCGGGTCCTTACCAGGGTGCGTGGCCCAGCAGGTGGCTGATACCCGCGGGCCTCAGCACAGCCGCGGTCTCTCCCGCCCGTGTCCTCCTCCACCTCGGGCGCGCTCGGACATGAGCACGAGTCTCCCGTACGGCTACTGTCTTCTGGCAACTTCACTTCGGCCTTTTCTTCAGCCGCGATTTCATCAGAGGCCTCCTGCAGCATGGCTAACCTGCGGCGAGACAAGACAGGAGCCAACAGGCCCCAGGTCAGGCGGGTGTGCGCGCCCAAGGTGAACGGGGCTCATGCACGGTGACTCGAGCCGCGGCTGGGGCGCGAATGGCAGCTGAAACGCTCGTGAAAGATACAATCGCCAGCGGCCTCTCCAGCATCAGGAGGCAAAATCACCACACTTCCGGTGCTGGAAAGTTAAATGAATGAAATTCGACCTAGTTCCTACATATTAAAATAGAAATAGTCTGAAAATCACATCTAAAATTTAACCCAGCCATTTAAGAAAACCGACAAGGTACTATAATGTATGTACCTTGATATCAGCTGTTTATTTATTATAAAGTTAATCATAAAACAGGCTGGAGTGACTCTGCTAGAAGTGAATAAAGACGTAAGCACCGAAAATCTCCATTATCTTGGTGCCTGACTGGCTCACTGAGAAGAGCCTGGGACTCTTGATCTTGGGGTTTTAAGTTTGAGCCCCACATTGGGTGTACAAATTACTTAAAAATAAAATCTTAAAAAAATATATCCATTGTCAACTGTGCTTACAGGCTAGCAGGGGTAAAACCCTGTGTAAAGGGAGTTTTATTACTGACATAAGAATCCTAATGCCGTATGATCGTGTCTTTAACAAAAGCCAAGGTGTGGGCTGGGGCGGCATGGTAACTGGGGCTCTGGAATGTACACAGGGCTTAGAGTCTTTATAACCTGTATGGACAGGAGCTCAACAGTACCAGCATGGCTTAGAATACCTCATGCTTTGTTGAGTTACATGTCCTTAGAACGGAAACACTTCTTCCACTGGTAACTCAAAGCTGAGCTATAATTGTGATCGGTGACATTCTGACAACTTGGCACACGCCAGGAATTAAACACAGAGTCACACAGTGAGCACGGGGCAGCTAGCAATGAATTCTGTGAGCTATAAATTCCTCTATGCTACATACCAAGTGTATTTTTTGAAATGTAAATGAAACGAATTGTATTTTACATACACCAAGAAGGCTTGCTATTTAAAAATACCATGATGAACCTTATAATCACTCTCGTATTTATTATTTTTGCAGTACTGATTCATAACCATTGTAAATTGTAAAGGGCTTCTAATAACAACAAAGATTATCTGCACTTTTTGCATCACTGTAGTAAGCTGTTTCTTCCAAATATCCAAGAGTTTGTTACTTATGACCTATCTTGTCATTGTTGGCTTATAACAAATTTTACGCACATGCGTGCTATATATATGTTAACAGTAGTTCAAACATATCAGCAAAAGCAACTACATGTACATTAAAATCAATCCAAATAATTTTATGTATGTACTTTAATAATTTTATGTATGCAATAATTTATTATTATATTTAATAATTATATATTATATATATTATAATTAATAATTTTATGTATGTACTTTAAAAACTGACGTATTCACTAAAATTTGTTTTTAGAGAAAACGGCAACAAGAACTTTTCTTTTTCCTTTTTTAAAAAAATTATTGTTTTGTTTTGTTTTTTTAAAGATTTTATTTATTTATTTGACAGAGAGAGATCATAAGTAGGCAGAGAGGCAGGTAGAGAGAGAGAGAGGGAAGCAGGCTCTCTGCTAAGCAGCGAGCCTGATGTGGGACTTGATCCCAGGATCCTGAGATCATGACCTGAGCTGAAGGCAGCGGCTTAACCCACTGAGCCACCCAGGCGCCCCTTTTTTTTTTGAATTATCATATAATGTATTATTTGTTTCAGGGGTACAGGTCTGTGAGTCATCATCTTACACAATTCACAGCACTCACCATAGCATATTCCCTCCCCAATGTCCATCACCCAGCCACCCCATCCTGCCCACCAAGTCCCCTCCAGCAACCCTGTTTATTTCCTGAGATAAAGAGTCTCTTATGGCTTATCTCCCTCCCTGGTTTCATCTTGTTTCATTTTCCCCTCCCTTCCCCTATGATCCTCTGCCTTGTTTCTCAAATTCCTCATATCAGAGAGATCATATGGTAATTGTCTTTCTCTGACTGATCTATTTTGCTTAGCATCATACCCTCTAGTTCCAACTACATCATTGCAAATGGCAAGATTTCAGGTTTCTTAATGGCTGTGCATTGTATTCCATGGTATATATATACCACATCTTCTTTATCCATTCATCTGTTGATGGACATCTAGGCTCTTTCCATAGTTTGGCTACTGTGGACATTGCTGCTATAAACATTAGGGTGCACGTGCCCCTATGGATCACTACATTTGTATCTTTAGGGTAAAGACACAGTAGTGCAACTGCTGGGTCATAGGGTAGCTCTATTTTCAACTTTTTGAGGAACCTCCATGCTGTTTTCTAGAGTGGCTGCACCAGGCTGCATTCCCACCAACAGTGTCGGAGGGTTCCCCTTTCTCCGCATCCTTGCCAAAACCTGTTATTTCCTGACTTGTTAATTTTAGCAGTTCTGACAGGTGTGAGGTGGTATCTCATTGTGGTTTTGATTTGCATTTCCCTGATGCCGAGTGATGTTGAGCACTTTTTCATGTGTCTGTTGGCCATTTAGATGTCTTCTTTGCAGAAATAAAGTTCATGTCTTATGCCCATTTCTTGATTAGATTATTTGTTCTTTGGGTGTTAAGTTTGGTAAGTTCTTTATAGATTTTGGATACTAGCCTTTTATCAGATAGGTCATTTGCAAATATATTCTCCCATTTCTGGGCTCTCTATTCTGTTCCACTGATCTATGTGTCTGTTTTTGTGCCAGTACCATACTGTCTTATCGATTACAGCTTTGTAATAGAGCTTGAAGTCTGGAATTGTGATGCCACCAGCTTTGGTTTTCTTTTTCAACATTCCTCTGGCTATTCAGGGTCTTTTCTGGTTCCATATAAATTTTAGGATTATTTGTTCCATTTCTTTGAAAAAAGTTGACAGTATTGTTTTTTTTTTAATTTTATTTTTTATAAACATATATTTTTTCCCCAGGTGTACAGGTCTGTGAATCGCCAGGTTTACACACTTCACAGCACTCACCATAGCACATACCCTACCCAATGTCCATAACCCCACCCCCCCTCTCCCAACCCCCTCCCCCCAGCAACCCTCAGTTTGTTTTGTGAGATTAAGAGTCACTTATGGTTTATCTCCCTCCCAATCCCATCTTGCTTCATTTACTCTTCTCCTACCCCCTTAACCCCCCATGTTGCATCTCCTCTCCCTCATATCAGGGAGATCATGATAGTTGTCGTTCTCTGATTGTCTTATTTCGCTAAGCATGATACCTTCTAGTTCCATCCACGTTGTCGCAAATGGCAAGATTTCATTTCTTTTGATGGCTGCATAGTATTCCATTGTGTATATATACCACATCTTCTTTATCCATTCGTCTGTTGATGGACATCTAGGTTCTTTCCATAGTTTGGCTATTGTAGACATTGCTGCTATAAACATTCGGGTGCACGTGCCCCTTCGGATCACTACGTTTGTATCTTTAGGGTAAATACCCAAGGTTGACAGTATTTTGATACGGATCACATTAAATGTGTAGATTGCTCTAGGTAGCATAGACATTTTCACAATATTTGTTCTTCCAATCCATGAGCATGGAACGTTTTTTCATTTCTTTGTGTATTCCTCAATTTCTTTCATGAGTATTCTATACTTTTCTGAGTATAGATTCTTTGCCTCTTTGGTTAGATTTATTCCTAGATATCTTACGGTTTTGGGTGCAGTTTTAAATGGGATCGACTCTGTAAGTTCTCCATCTTCAGTCTTATTGTTGGTGTAGAGAAACATAACTGATTTCTGTGCACTGATTTTATATCCTGACACTTTACTGAATTCCTGTATGAGTTCTAGCAATTTTGGGGTGGAGTCTTTTGGTTTTCCACATAAAGTATAAGATCATCTGCAAAGAGTGAGAGTTTGACTTCTTTGCGGATTTAGATGCCTTTTCTTTCTTTTTGTTGTCTGATTGCCGAGGTTAGGACTTATACTACTATGTTGAATTGCAGTGGTGTGAGTGGACATCCTTGCCATGTTCCTGACCTTAGGGGAAAAGCTTTCAGTTTTTCCCCACTGAGAATGATATTCGCTATGGGTTTTTCATAGATGGCTTTTATGATATTGAGGTATATACCCTCTATCCCTACACTGTGAAGAGTTTTCATCAAGAATGGATGCTACAGCATCCATACATCAAATGCTTTTTCTCCATCTACTGAGAGGATCATATCCTCTCACACTGTGTTGATTTGCAGATGTTGAACCAGCTTTGCAGCCCCAGAATAAATCCAATTTGGTCAAGGTTAATAATCCTTTTAATGTACTATTGGTTCCTATTGGCTAGTATCTTGGTGAAAATTTTAGCATCCATGTTCATCAGGGATATTAGTCTGTAATTCTCCTTTGTGATGGGGTCTTTGTCTGGTTTGGGGATCAAGGTAATGCTGGCCTATGCATAAAATGAGTTTGGAAGTTTTCCTTCCATTTCTATTTTCTGGAACAGTTTCAGAAGAATAGGTATTAACTCTTCTTTAAGTGTTTGGTAGAGGGATGCCTGGGTGGCTCAGTCAGTTAAGCTGCTGCCTTCAGCTCAGGTCATGATCCCAGGCTCCTGGGATCGAGTCCTGCATTGGGCTCCTTCCTCAGTGAGGAGCCTGCTTCTTTCTCCGCCTCTCTCTCTCCCTCTCTCTCAAATAAATAAATAAAATCTTTAAAAAAAGAGAGCGAAAAAAACGTTTGGTAGAATTCCTCTGGGAAGCTGTCTGGCCCTGGGCTCTTGTTTGTTGGGAGATTTTTAATGACTGCTTCAATCTCCTTACTGGTTATGGGTCTGTTCAGGTTTTTTATTTCTTCCTGGTTCAGTTTTTTAGTTTATATGTCTTAAGGAATGCATCCATTTCTTCCACATTGTCTAATTTGCTGGTGTATAGTTGCTCATAATATGTTCTTATAATTGTTTGTAATTGTTTGGTGTTGGTTGTGATCTCTCCTCTTTCATTCATGATTTTATTAATGTGGGTCCTTTCTCTTTTCTTTTTGATAAGTCTGGCCAGGGGTTTATCAATCTTATTAATTCTTTCAAAGAACCACCTTCTAGTTTTGTTGATTTGTTCTGTTCTTTTGGTTTCTATTTCACTGATTTCTGCTCTGATCTTTATTATTTCTCTTCTCCTGATGGGCTTAGGCTTTCTTTGCTGTTCTTTCTCCAGCTCCTTTAGGTGTAGGGTTAGGTTGTGTATTTGAGACCTCTCTTGTTTCTTGAGAAAGGCTTGTATTGCTATATACTTCCCTCGTAGGACTGCCTTTACTGCATCCCACAGATTGTGAAGAGCTGTGTTTTTATTTTCATTTGTTTCCATGCATTTTTAAAATTCTTTAATTTCCTGGTTGGCCCATTCATTCCTTAGTAGGATGCTCTTTAGCCTCCATGTATTTGAGTTCTTTCCAACTTTCTTCTTGTGGTTGAGTTCTGGTCTTAAAGTATTGTGGTCTGAAAATATGCAGGGAATGATCCCAATCTTTTGGTACCATCTGAGACCCAATTTGTGACCCAGGATGTGATCTATTCTGGAGAATGTTCCATGTGCACTAGAAAAGAATGTGTATTCTGTTGCTTTGGGATGGAATGTTATGAGTATATCTGTGATGTCCATCTGGTCCAGTGTGTCATTTAAAGCCTTTATTTCCTTGTTAATCTTTTGCTTAGATGATCTGTCCATTTCAGTGAGGAGGGTGTTAAATTCCCCTATTATTATTGTATTACTGTCAAAATGTTTCTTTGATTTCTTTATTAATTGGTTTATATAATTGGCTGCTCCCATCTTAGGGGCATAGATATTTAAAATTGTTAGATCTTCTTGTTCAACAGACACCTTGAGTATGATATAGTATCCTTCCTCATCTCTTATTATGGTCTTTGGCTTAAAATCTAATTTGTCTGATATAAGGATTAGCACCCCATTTTTCTTTTGATGTCCGTTAGCATGGTAAATTTTTTTCTACCCCCTAGCTTTAAATCTGGAGGTGTCTTCGGGTCTAAAATGAGTCTCTTGCAGACAGCATATCGATGGCTCCTTGTTTTTTAATCCATTCTGATACCCTGTGCCTTTTGATTGGGGCATTTAGCCCATTTACAATTCAGGGTAACTATTGAAAGATATGAAATTAGTGCCATTGTATTGCCTGTGAGGTGACTGTTACTGTATATTGTCTCTGTTCCTTTCTGGTCTATGTTACTTTTAGGCTCTCTCTTTGCTTAGAAGACCCCTTTCAATATTCCCTGTAAAGCTGGTTTGGTGTTTGCAAATTCTTTTAGTTTTTGTTTCTCCTGGAAGCTTTTTATCTCTCCTTCTATTTTCAGTGACAGCCTACCTGGATATAGTATTCTTGGCTGCATATTTTTCTTGTTTAGTGCTCTGAATAGATCATGCCAGTCCTTTCTGGCCTGCCAGGTCTCTGTGGATAGGTCTGCTGCCAGTCCAATATTTCTACCATTGTAGGTTACAGACCTCTTCTCCTGAGCTGCTTTCAGAATTTTGTCTCGGAGACTTGTAAGATTCACTATTAGATGACGGGGTGCAGACCTATTTTTATTGATTTTGAGGGGTGTTCTCTGTCCTTCCTGGATTTTGATGATTGTTTCCTTTCCCCAAATTAGGGAAGTTCTCCACTTATATAATTTGCTCCAATATACCTTCTGGCCCCTCTCTCTTTCTTCTGGGATCCCAATTATTCTAATATTGTTTCATCTTATGGTATCACTTATCTCTTGAATTCTCCCCTCGTGATCCAGTAGTTGTTTATTTCTCTTTTTCTCAGCTTCTTCATTCTCCATCATTTGGTCTTCTGTATCACTAATTTTCTCTTCTGCCTCATTTATCCTAGCAGTAAGAGCCTCCATTTTCGATTGCACCTTATTCATAGCATTTTAAATTTCAACTTGGTTAGATTTTAGTTCCTTTATTTCTCCAGAAAGGGATTCTCTAGTATCTTCTATCCTTTAAGTCCAGCCATCATCTTTATAATCGTCATTCTGAACACTAGTTCTGACATCTCACTAACGTCTGTTTTGATTAGGTCTCTAGTAGTCGGTACTGCCTCTTGTTCTTTTTTTTGAGGTGAGTTTTTCCACTTTGTCATTTTGTCCAGACAAGAATAGATGATTGAGAGAACAAAATGCTAAGAGGGTAACAATGACCTCAGAAAAATATACACTCAACAAATCAGAAGAGACCTGAAACCAGGGGGGGGACAAGAAAGGAAAAAAAAAAAAAATCAGGCTGGTGAATAGAACAGAGCCACACACTTGATTTTTGGTGTGTGATTTTTGGTGTATTTTGGTCTGTTAGAAGAAACAGGCTCCCAAAATTTTAAAGAAAGAGAAATATTTATAAATATATACATATTTCTCTTTCTCTCTCTATATATATGTGTGAATACGATGAATGGATAGGTTATGACTATAAAGATGAAAATTAAGATTTTAAAAAAGGAATTGGTAAGATATGAAGCTGGAAAGATCAGATGTGGTTAAAATAGGAAAGAGGAAAAATTAAAAAAAAAGAAAAAGAAAATTTAAAAAATTTAACTTTGAAAGAGTAAAGAATCAGGGGAAAGTAGACATGAATTCTATGTGCTGTATTCCCCTACTGCTGGAGTTGTGCAGTTCTCATTGATCAGTAAACTTGGTTTTGGCTGGATGTTCTTGCTGATCTTCTGGGGGAGGGGCGCGTTGCAGTGATTCTCAAATGTCTTTGCCTCAGGTGGAACTGCACTGCCCTTGCTAGTGCCGGGGTAACTAATCTGCGCAGGTTCACTGCTTTTGTTCCCTGAGCGCTTTCCATAGAGCTTTGGAGGACGGGAACAAAGATGGCGGCCGCCCAATCTCCGGCCAGAAGAGTGGAGAGCTCAGGGCCCCATTCCTCAGTGCGTCCTCAGAGAAAAGCAGTCAATCCCTCCTGTTTCCCTGGTCTCCAGTCGTGCTCTGTGCTCACCCGGCCTGTGAGCAAATGTTTCTATCTCTGGCACAAGGCCCCGTTTGGGGTCTCCAAACCCAGCAGATTCCTACAGAGCGCCTGTGCTGTTCTTCCCAGAGGAGGAAGGAGTGGGGGGGGGGTCTCTCCGGATCTGCCACTTGTTGGGGTCCCTGCTAAAGAGCAGTGGCCTGAATGTGCTTTGGATCATGGTTTATGGAAACCCTGAGCTGAGAGCCAACCTCCTTGACTCTGTTGATGCAGCCATCCTCCCCGATCCAACACCTGGGAGCTCTGCTGCACTGGGGTACCCCTGGTTGTTCTGTGACCCCGAGGGTCCTGAGACCACATTGTCCCCACGAGGGCTCCACTCTCCACTTAGCCTCTGGGGTGATGTCCCTCTGTGGAGCAGCCTTCTAAAAGTTCTATTTCGTGCTCTGCTGCTCTCTCAGTCTCGCTGGGAGCCCGCTGATAGAGGCTCCCTCTCCGCTGAGGTCTATTTTCCTGTATATTGCCTCAGATTTACTTCTCCACGTGTCCTATCTTCCAGAAAGTGGTTGCTTTTCCTGCTCATAGAATTGCTGCTCTTCTTCTCTTCGATCTGTTGAGTTTCTAGGTGTTCAGAATGGTTTGAACTATCTAGCTGAATGCCTGGACCAGATGAAATTTAGGTCTCCTACTTCTCCACCATCTTGCTCACGACAGTTCTGTATATGTATGTAAATCTAGACAAAAACTATAGTAACATTTGTTTTTTAAAGAGTGGTGGTGTAGAGAATGAGAAGGGAGCAGGAAAAGAAGACGGACATGGAAACAAATAGGGAGTGATCACTCTTAAGCTGTTTTCTAGGATGTGTGCTCTGACTTGCCCAAACCTAAATGCTACAATGGTACTTCTGGTAGCTTAAGGAAAAAGAAAGTAAGTTTTAAAATTTATGTATGAGTGGACAATACACTACCACACCTTTTGAAACAGGTCTTTTTAGACTTGAGATTTAAAACAGCTCTGGAAAGAGTGTCAGAACTTAAGGAGGCATGAACAAAGAACCTCCTTCCTCTGTTCACTCTGACGCCATCCCCAGTGTCACTGTTGCCCTCTTTGACTCTCTAATGACCGAAGAGGGTCTTTCCTTCAGTGGCGGCTCCCTGCCATGGCGCCGCTTTCCAAAATTCCAGGGCAAGATCTGAACCTACAAAAGCCCCCTGAAAGTTTCTTAAAAGAAACGAAACACATCCCCTTTGAGTTTCCGGAGAGCAAAAGGAAACAACTGCGTTTACCAGTCTCCATCTGGACCTCGTTGCTCTTCTTCCTGCCCTGGTTCCTCTTCTTCTTCTTCCCGTGCTAATTGCCGTTCCACAGCCAGGAGCTCGGCTGATGTTCTTGCAAGTAAGGCGGACACGGCGTCCTGGGGAGTAGAAAGCATATGGCAATGAACATGATCTACTGTGAGAGATGATTTAAAAACTCATGAGGTGGGGACGTAAGCTTCCAGTGGTGAAAAAGAAGGTAGTACAGGACCTAATCCTCCTGCTGAGAACAAATACGGAAGCTGAATAAAATAAAATAAAAAGCAACAAATAAACAAACCTCCGGCTGTTTTAAAGCAATGGAAGAACATCATAGGCAATCAGGACTAGAGGCCAAGATCCTAGGGAGGAGAGAAGTGCAAAGAGGTGGAGTGACGTCATTGCCACTCTTCTCCCTTGGGGACATGCGTCAGCTCTAGCGGTGGGGCGTACAGGCTAAACTTGTGGCCGTTCAGAAGACTGGCAGTATCGATAGGATGCAAAGATGGAAACCGAGCTAAACCACCATGGCGGGCAGTGAGCAATGGGCCAGAGAGAGGAACCGTAGTGAGTCCAGTATTTGTACAATATTCTTGGTGTGCTATTTGCCATTCCTAAGTGGCGTATGTGAAAGCAAGTGGTGAGAAACCAAACAAAACCCAGCTGTGAGGAGGCTAACACAGGAAGCAGATGCTTCAGTTTCTTTATGGCCTCAGGTCTTTTTTTCCCTGGGGAGAGGAAAATTGGAACTTAGGTCCTCCAAGTGATCCAGGTGATCTGTAACCTGCCTTCTGGAAGAACATTAGATCCTCTCCGGAGCAAGGTATCAGCCAGAGCCTCTATCATTCTTCATACATAATATCCAGCATCCACCAGAAACAGGACCCAGTGAATGACTGAAGGCCAAGAAGAGCAACAGACGAGACGAAGGAGGCAGGTCTACAGGTGGTCCATATACTGCAGGTATTCAGAGAAAGAATTTAAGTTTTTACAATTAGTATGTTCACGAAAACTGAGGACATGATGAAGAATTTCACTAGTGTATACAGAAAGGACACCACATTAGCACATCTGAGTGAAACTGCTGAAAACCAAAGAAAGAGAGAAAAATCTTGAGAACAGTGAAAAAAAGATGCATTACTTTTGAAGGATCTGCTGTTCTCCGGCAGCTCAACAGAACCAATGGACACCAGATGACACCAAAATGGTATCTTCAACGTGTTCAGAGAATTAACTGCCCACCTACAATTCTGAATATGCAGAAAGAAAGTCCTTCACAAGTGGAAAGGAAGACACTGACAGATCTTCACTGGAAGAAATACCAGAGAGAGTTCTTCAGGTATAAGGAAAATGCCCAAATGGAGGCACACTAATGCTGAAAGAAATGAAATACACCACGAAGGGTAAAGATGTGGGGAAATCTAAAAGAGTATCGACTATCAATAAAACAATAATACCTTGTATGATTTAAAATATACGTACCTAAAATACATGGCCAATAATTTCACGGAAGGAGGAAAGGGAATAAATATAAAGTCTTTTAAAACTCTTACACTGCGTGGGAAAAAGTAAAAGCATTAATTTAAGGTAGCTTCTAATAATGCCAGGATACATGCTGTAATCACTAGGGATACAGCAAAAAATAAAAAACTGTATTACTAATGATCTAATAGGAAGGAAAATGAAATGTAAAAATAATTGACTAATCCAAAAGAAGGAAAACGAGGAACAAAGATAGCACTGAAAGAAAACAAACAACAAGAAAATAGGGTCAAACCCAAATATATCACTAATAGCATTAAATGTAAATGAACTAAGTATTTCCATTAAATGGTAAAGATTTTAAGACTGGACAATAAACCAAAACCAACTCCATACTGCTTACAAGTGAAACACTTTAAATCAAAGAATTCAGAAGTGTTGAAAGTAAAAGGATGGAAAAAGATAGAACCATGAAAACACTAACCAAAAAAAGGGGCTGAGATAGCTTTATGAACACCAGACAGATTTTTTAAAAATTAGAACAAATAAAGAGGGACATTTTATAACAATAAAAGGGCCAGTTGAACAGAAAGCTAAAACAATGCTAAATTTATATTTATCAAAGAATATAGACACAAAACTCAGAAAGCAAAGACTAACAAACTAAAAGGAGAAACAGATGTATATAATCATAAGTTGGGAGATTTTAATATATCTCTTAACAACCGGTAAAATAAGAGAACTGAAAAACCAGTAAATGTGGAAGATTTGAAGGACAAAATGAACAAACTTGACCTGCAGAATGCATTCTTTTCAACAACACACAGAACTTTTACCAAAATTGACCACATTCTAAGCCATAAAGCAGGGTTAATATTCTGTATGATTGAAGAGTATATACTCTAGTCCCTGAAAACAGTGAAATACAGCTAGAAACCAATAATAAAAAGATAACTAGAAAACCCCACTGTTTGGGAATTAAGTAAACATACTTCTAAAAAATCCTTATAGACCAAAAAAAGAAATTACAATGGAAATTATGAACTATTTAAAATTCAGGAGTGGTAGCATATTTTAATAATCTCATATTATCAAACGTGAAAAACAGCCAAAGCTATGCTCAAAAAGAATTTTTTAGCCCTAAATGCATATATGGGTAAAGAAGGTTGCTAAACAGTGATCTAACTCAAGAAGGAAAAAAATACATCATATTAAACCTAAAGAAAGCAGAAGCAAGGAAATAATAAAAGAGCAAAATTAACAAAATAGAAAACACATACATAAATAGAAGAAAAAAAAATCAATGAGGCCAAACGTTGTTTCTTTGAATAAAATAAAACACCTGACAAGTCCCTGGCAAGAGGGAGAAAAAATAGAAATGGTAATAATTACCCATGTCAGAAACAAAACAGAGAACATAGCAAAGTCCTTGCATATATAAAAATAAGAAGGTATCATGAATAACTTTGCCAAATTTTTGGTAATATAGATAAAACAGACAAATCCTATAGAAAATACTACTTTTACCAAAATGAATGTAAGTACAGAAACCTGGAATAGTCCTATATGTAATAAAGAAATTGAATCTGTAATTAAAAAACATTTCACCAGCCCTTTTCAACTGGGATTCTGTGAGAATTAAGCCTAATGACCTCTAGTATCCATTATATTAAAGCAAAACAAAACAACACCTAGAATGCCGTAAGTTACATGTCATCCTTGGGACAAATAAGAAAGTAGTCACTGAAAACATTTTTTATAGTGCTTACTTCCTTTGCAGAGCCTTAGCTGAGAAAGGTTGCTTCTCAAAAGAAAATTACAGGCTGGGCTGGTGAATTTTCTTGGGAATTCCTCTGAATATTTAAGGAAGAGAGGACACCCATCTCACAAAAACCTTCTGTGGAGAGTAAAAAAGGAATGCTTTCTAACTCATATTATGAAGCCTGTAAAACCTTGATTTCAAAAAATGACATTACAAAAAAAGAAAACTAAAGATTAATTTCCCTCATGAACATAAAGAAAACTCAAACACAAAATCAAGAAATCTAATCCAGCAACATATATAAAAACATATACACCACAATGAAGTCTGTCCTATCCTAGGAATCTAAGGGTGGTTTAACATTCAAAAGTCAATCAATGTATAATTCACTACATTAAGAGAATAAAAGAGAACAATGATGTAATCAATTTAAGAAGTAAACAGTAAAAATGTTTGATAAAATTCAATATCCATGCATAATAGAAAGCCTCAGCAAACTAGAAAGAGTAAGAAACTTCTTTAATCTGAGAGCAATTATCTATAAATAGCCTCAAAAATCATTCTAAATGATGAATAATTGCAAGGCCTCACTTTGAAAAAAGTATAGTATTTTCTACAGAGGTAGACAACTACGCCAACAGAATAGAACAGGATACCCATGAACAGACCCCCCCCCACCATGTGCAGGTCACTGGACTTATGACAAAGATGACACTGTCATGCAGCTGGGAAAGAAAATCTTTTCTACAAATGATGCTGGGTCAATCAGCTATGACGTGGATTAAAAGGAATCTTGACCCCTACCTTACACTTTATACAAACGGTAATTTCAGTTGAATTTAGATCTAAATGTGAATGGCAAGGCAATAAAGCTTTTATAAGACAATGTAGTAAACCACCTTCATGATCCTTCTTAAATAGCAAAGGAAATACTGAGCATACAGGGAAAAACTGATTAGTAAGACTACGTTAAGCCTGAGTCCTTCTTCCATTCACCAAAAGGCAACATTAAGAAAATGAAAAGGCAAGTCACAAAATAGTAAAAGATATTTGGAAAAAATCAAAACCTATTAGACAAAACACTCAAGTCTAAAATTAAGAACTGCTACCAACCTATTTAAAGAAAGAGAATCCAATAGAAAAAATAGAAAAAAATCTTGAACAGACATTTCACAAAAGATGACATCCATCTGGCCATTAAACATTATAATCAGGGGAATGCAAAAAACAGGAGAGTACTATCTATCTATCTATCTATCTATCACAACAGCTAAAATAAAAAAGGTAAATAAAGACATGTAGGAGATGCTAATAGCAACACTACTCATAACAGCCCCTGAATCAGAAACTCAAATGTCCATTGACAGCAGAATGGATAAAGAAAGTGATATAATTATACAATGACCTCTCACGCAGCACGGAGCATGGATGAACTACAATTACACAAAACAACACAGGTGACCTGCACAAACATATTGCTGAACAGGAGATGCCAGACACGAAAGAACATGCAATGAGTGATTCCATTATATCAAGTTCAAAGACAGAAGTCAGGATGGAGATGATCTTTAGGGGAGAGTGGTAATGACTAAATGGGGCACAAGGGAGGATTCTGGGGGTCCTGGGAATGCACTATACCCTGGGTGGTAGCTACACAGGTGTGTTGACTTTGTGGAAATTCCCTGGAAAATTCACATCCACACTACCTTTGTACACTTTGTTAAAATTTCTCCATCACTCCTCTCCACAAAAGAAACGAGTTAAAGTGAGATTAGAATAAGATGACAACACTGTGAACCTAAGAAACACCTATAGAATACTCATCCAGTAAAAGCAGAGCACACACTTTCCCAAGGGCACAGAGAACATTCTCAGGAATGGTAGCATATGCTAGGCCATGAAACAAACCTCAGGAAACTTAGAAGGACTGAAATCCTACAAATTATGTTCTATGACCACACTGTAATGATGTAAAAAATCAATAATACAAGGAAAGCATAAGAAGTAACAAAGATGTAGAAATTCACACATTCTTAAATAACCAATGAGTCAAAGAAGTCACGAGGAAAAATCAGAAAACACGTAGAGATGAATGAAAATGAAGACCTATCAGAGTTGGTAAGACACTGCTCCAACAGCACTCAGCAAGAGATTTATAGCTAGGAGTGCCTGTGTCAAAGCAGAAGAAAGATCTCAAGTCTATAACCTAAACTTCTACCTTAGGAAATGGAAAAAAAGAGTAAACCTAAAGTAATCAGAAGGAAGGAAATAATAAAGACTACTTTCTCTCTCTTTCTCTCTAAAAAAAACAAAACCAAAACAAAAAAATACCAAAAAATAGGATTGTCAGATGGAGTCCCGTGTCGGGCTTCAACTGAGCCTGGAGCCTGCTTAAGATTTTATCTTTCCCTCTCCCTCTGCCCCTCCTCCCTGCCCCTCTCTAATAATAATAATAATAATAATGACGGAGTAGAAATTTATGAAATAGCAGATAGAGAAATATTAGAGATCAGTGAAACCAAAAGGTGATTCTTCGAAAAGATTCAAAAAAGTAAAAACTTTTAGCTAAATTAACCAAGAAAAATAGAGAAAAAGTTCAAATTACTGAAACTAGGAGACAAAGAGGGGATATCACCGTCAAATCCACAGGAAAAAAATGAATTATAAGGGTTACTACAAACATTGTTTGCCCACAAGTCAGACAACCTAGATAAATGAACACATTCTAGAAAGACACAAAACTACACAAAGTGACATTATAACAAAGTTCTGAGTAGACTTATAATAAGTAAGAGACTGAATTAGTAAACAAAAACTTTCCCAAAGTCCAAACCCAGAGGGTTTCACTGCCAAGTTCTACCAAACATTTTAAGAAGAAGAATACCAATTCTTCTCAAACTCTTCCAAAAGACCATTTACGAGGGAATACTTCCTAAACTCATTCCCTGAGGCCAAAATTACTCTGATGTTGAAACCAAAGACATCAGGAGAAAACTATGAATACAGAAAAAAAAACAAAAAAACTCAATGAAATACGAGGAAACTAAATTAATAACATAAAAAGGATTATACACTATGATCAAGTGGGATTTATCCCAGGAATGCGATGTTGGTTTGACATCTGAAAATCAATAAACCATATGAACAGAATAAAGGATAAAAACCATATGTCATCTCAAAAGAGCCAGAAAAGCACCAGTTAAATCCACAGCTTTTACAATAAAACACTCAACAAACTAGGAAATGGATTTCCCTCCACTTGATGAAGGGCAGCTACAATAAACCACAGCAGAAATCATACGTAACGGTGAAAAACTGAAAATTTCCCCCTAAGATCACATCCATGACAAGGATGTCTGCTCTCACCACCTCTTGCGATATCAAAATGGAAGTTCTAGCCAGGGCGAAGGGGCAAGAAAACAAAATAAAAGGCAACAGGAAAGAAAGAAGTAAAACCAACTCTATTTGCAGAAGATAGAATCTTACCTATAGGAAATCCTAGGGAATCCACAAAAAAACTATTTGACCTAATAAACCTGGTCAGTGAGGTTGCAAGATGCAAGACAAGTAGTCAAAATCAAGTGCAATGAATAATCTGAAAATGAAATAAGAAAACAGTTCTATTTACAATAACATCAAAAAGAATAAAGTTAACCAAAGATGTAAGATTTGGGGCTCTGAAGAGGGCAAAACATTTTTTGAAAGAAGTTAATGAAGACCCAAATAAATGGGAAGATATCCTGTATTCATGATCAGAAGACTTAAAACTGATAAGATGACAACACCCTCCAAATTGATCTTAGGTTCAAAGCAATCTATATAAAAATCCTACCTGCTTTTTTTTTTCTTTCTTTTTTTTTGGCAGAAGTTGACAAACCGATACTGAGATTCATACGGAAATTCAAGAGACCCCAAATAACCCAAACTATCTTAAAAAAGAAAAACAAAGCTGGATGACTCATATGTTCCTATTTCAAAATAACTACAAAGCTACAGTCATCGTGATACTGTGATGTTGGCACAAATAGACATACAGATTAACAGAATAGAATTTAGAGTTCAGAAGTATAAAGGATCGTATTTGCGGTAACGTGGCTTTCAGCAAGGGTACCCAGTGGGGAAAGATTAGTGTTTTCAATTAAGCGGTACTGCGAGCAATTGCATACCCACCTACAAGAAAATGGAATTGGACCTACTCCTCACATCACACAGAAAGAAAAACTCAAAAGGATCAGAGACCTAAAAATAACACGGAACTTTCAAACTCTCAGAAGAAAACACAGGACTAAATCTTTATGATGTTCGGCTGGGCAAAGTCTTCCTAGATAGGACACCCATAGCACAAGCAATGCAAGAAAAAAAACAAAAAACAAAAACAGGCAATCTGGACTTTGATCAAAATTTACAATTTTGTATTGCAAACAAAACCACCAGGAAAGTGAAAAGAAAGCCACTGAATGAGAGAAAATATCTGCAAGTCATTTACTGGATAAGGGACTTGTATCAAGAATATATGAAGAACTTTTATAACTTAATAATAAAATAATAAATAAAGAGATAATAATCAAGTGAAATAGTAAAAAGATGAAGTCATCTAAAACACAAAGGATCCAACTAGGCAGCTCTCAAAAAAAAAAAATTAAAAATATACAATGGCCCATAAGTCCATGAAAATGTGCTCAGTATCAGGAGTCATTAGGGAACTATACATCAAAACCACAATGAGCGCCTCACACCGCCTGGCCAAAATCAGAAAGACAAGTAATAATTTGCGGCAAAGCTGGGCTGGCAGGAGCCTGCGCACATTGGTGAGGGTGGAAACGGTGCCCCCACTTTGGAAGACAGCTTGTCAGCTCCTCAAGACGTTAAAACACAGAGCTATGACCCAGCAGGTCCACCCCTAGGTACGGACGCCAAAGAGGAACGGAAACGTATGTCCTAACAAACCCTTGTACAGATGTTCACAGCAGCGGTATTAATAGTCAAAAAGCGGAAACAGCCCAAATGCCCATGTACTGACGAACAGATAAACTAGTACATCCACATAATAGAGCATTCTTCAGAACGATAAGGGAATGGGGTAGGAATACATGCTAGCGTACGGAGGTACTCTGAAAACACGACGTTAAGTCGAAGAAGTATTATTCCATGTATATGAAATGTCCATGGTAAGCAAATTTACAGAGGCAGAAGGATGAGTGGTTGCCTCGGGGGAAAGGTCTTAGGGAGGACGGGGAGCCACTACTCATGAGTAGAGGGAACCTTTCTAGGATGATGACAACGTTGGAAGACTACGTCATGGTGATGGTGACCCAGCTCTGTGAATATACTAAAAACCACTGAACGGTGTGGTTCGGATGGGTGAACTGTACGTTTTCCATGGAGGAACCACATGGTATGTGAATTACACTGCATCAAGCTGTTAAAACAATTTACTCACACTGGGACCATCCCATCAGCGCTCTCCAAGGTCCAAGTCCGATTTCATCATCCCATGTGCCTCCCTTAGCGTCAACCACAAACCGGGGCGCATGACACAAGCTTGACCCGCACTCTTGTTTCCCTTTCACCACCCACCACGACGTCCACTGTCGTTCCTTGCACCCAAGAGATGATCAGTGATTATCTGACTTCTGCTCAGTAAACTCTTTCCTCAGAGATAACTGAACATACACTTGAACTTGGTAGCAACGTTCACAGACGCCAAGTCAGTGATGAATGGCTTCCCAGAATGCCCCCTCTGTAAATTTTTAGAAGTGCTGAATGTGGATAACCTGTTGGTTTATAAGAAACTCAACAGAAAATATTTATCGCTTTACTGATGTAACAAATAGTGACTAAGACAATCTTTAGCCTTAGTCATATAACGGCTGCAAACGATCCAAGTTCCAAATGTATAACCTGAGCACAACATATAAAAGTATAAATTTAGGGACACTCAGTGGGTTAAGGCTCAGTGGGTTAAGCCTCTGCCTTCGGCTCGGGTCATGATCTCAGGGTCCTGGGATCGAGCCCCACATCGGGCTCTCTGCTCAGCAGGGAACCTGCTTCCCCCTCTCTCTCTGCCTGCTTGTGATCTCTATCTCTCTGTCAAATAAATAAATAAAATCTTTAAAAAAATAATAGATAAATAAATAAAAGTATAAATTTAAAGTGAAAGGTTTTCCAGGGTCACCTAACCCCGCTATGACTCCGCATGTTTATTCTGATGGAAGGAAGTGTGAGCAGAGACGAGTGGTTCTTTTATAAACTATACCTGAAACGAAGCTGGAAATTTTCTTTCTTTCTGGTTTAGAGTTGTTGGGAAGCTGTGAGGAAGGGGTAAGCCGGGGGAGGAAGGGTAGTGAAGGTGATTGGGAACAGGCCAGTACCACGGCATTCCACATTCCACAGTATTTCCTTTAGTCATGCCTTTGTACTCCAATTTGGACTCACCAAGTCTATTGCATCTATTAATGACTGAGTTGTTTGAAATACAGAGTCCTCATTTCCTTCGTCGTTCTTTTTGCAAGACATTTGCTTGGAAGGAAGCAGGTTATACCACAGAGTGAAAATCTCGCTGGAAAATGGTAAATCAGCCAGACTGATCTGAGTTCCAGCCTGCGTGAAACGAAAGGGGTGGGGGGGAGAAAAGAAGAGAAAATGTTTAAATTCCTATTTCCTTCCTCTCATGTAATTATTAAAGATTATTGGGCTAGCCTGTTTTAGGGTTTAAAAAAATGCAATAGTCATGATATAAAGAATTGGTGGATTTTTTTTTTTAAACCTGAAGGTGTGACGAAGTAAGAAATAACCCCAATCTAGAAGCTAACCCTAGGATTATTTTGTGAGATACTGTTTTGCTAAAACCTAATGACTTAAGGATGCAACTTTCTGTATTTTTTAATGAAAAGTCAAAAAATAAATTAAAAAATAAACAACTAAGCATAAATCATAATACCTCTCACAATACGCTGTAAGAGTCATTTGATCATTACTCACAAAAACCCATTATCCAGTATAAAATTCAAAAACCAGGGGCACCTAGGTGGTTCAGTTGTTTAAGCATCTGCCTTCGGCTCAGGTCACGATCCTAGGGTCCCGGGGTCAAGCCCTATGTTGGGCTTCCTGCTCAGTGGAAACCTGCTTCTCCCTCTCCTCCCCACCCATGCTCTCTGTTACTATTTCTGTCTCTCTCTCAAACAAATAAATAAAATCTTAAAACAAAACAAAACAAAAACAAATAAAAATTCTACTGTGGTTCTTAAATGAGAGACCAGATAGCAAAATTTTTCTTCCAATTCGCAGAATGTCAAGAAAAGTTTTTATATTCCAGCAAATGACATATATGAGCCAGAATCTAATGAAATGGTACCATTTTTTTTAAAGGCTATTAATTAACATAGTCACTAACTTTAAGGAGCTTCTGACACACATATCTACTGTAGCAATCTGCTAGCCTAATGAGTCTGCTATCTTTGCTTCTTTTTATTGCCACGTAATATTATCAAATATTTTTTTTTCATACCAAGAAAAGGAAATACTAATAAATCTATCACCCTTATGAACTTTGTTCATCAAGAAGCGTGCTTTTGTGTTTCTGATTGTACCGCAGAGAAAAGTTCAACCCGAAACCCATGCTACTGTTTGGACACACGGGCAGCCCCTCGCTGCCTGCATTTGACCATCCTGTGTACCATCCTGTGTACCTTTTCCGGTGTGTAATGGTTTTCTGGTTGTTATGTACAAGGGCATGTTAAACTCACCATTAGTTATAGGTGACGTCTCCTGCATTATTACCACTGAAACATCACATTCCTCTAAAAAGCAACATTTAAGTCTTCCTAGAAGCTATAAAACCAGAGCTAGGGAGAATATAATAAAGGGACCGGACACTCAGTCTCCTGCTTAATTTAAACTTACAGCAGTGAATTATGTGTGGGATGTCTTTTTGCTATCCGGCTCCATCGTTCATCAGCTCTGTGACCCTAGACTTACTACCTCTTCTGAAAAGAGGGATAGTCATACCTCTTCCCTGAGACCATCATGAGGATTAAAGGAGATAATGTGCACAAAACGCCCAGCACAAGAGTCATGTTGGGAGTAGTGAGCATGCTTCAGAGTGATCATCATGACAGAGGTCACAGGGCAGAACGGGAGACAGATTTTACAGAAAATCACAATTAATAAGCAGAACTGAGAGGTCTTGAATAAGAGAATGAAAACCTGCAATCCCCGCTTCAAATAAAAAAAAATTAGCGCACCACTGCTGTGCCCAAGGTCCTGGGCAGATCTGTGGGGTGTCAGGGCCAGCGCACGGGCGTCTAGAGAGTTCTTCTCAGCATACACCCCACCCTGGGCCTTCTGTGGTGACGGGGCCTGGGAAATGACCTACCAGGCACTCTTCACTCCGGTGTCTACTAACAGAGCAAAGGTCCACTCTCAGCGTCTTCTGCTGTAAGGCTGTTTGGGAAATGGCCACTCTGAACACGTCGTTGAATAAGATGCATTCTGTGGCCAGATGGACCTTTGTGCGAAACAGACAGCTGACGTCCGCTGAGGAGGGCAGCAGAGCAACCCTGAAGTAGCTGCAAAGACAAGAGTCAAAGGATTTCACTGGAACTTGGACGACACCATAGCCGGTCCGACCGCGCCCAGTGGCAGAGAGAAGGCTCCGTCCTCCGCCCACCCGAGCCCACGGTGCCCCGTGCCTGCCACTCAGCCCAAGGCTGCAGCAAAGACAAAATCCATGGAGCGGATGAATGTAACATCCCACCTGCCCGGGGACAGCCAATTCCGAAGTAAAGTTTTCTGAGTCTGGGAAGATGGGATCGTGCAAAGCCAATTTTGTCCCAAAGAGTCTTCACCCCTGAGAGTTAAACAGGGGTGCTGGTCATCATTTCCCAGGACTGGACTACACTACCCTACGAGCGAAAAAGAACTGCGAAGTAGCTTATTGTGAAGCAAACCTACAAATCTACTGTCGAGCATCACAAAAGTATCGATAATGAAACTTTGTAAAATTTCAAAGCGAGAGTTGTAAAAGTTTGTAAGCTTTGTAAAAATTCAAAGGGAGAGTTACGGAAAACCAGTGACTTCTCATGATATGTGCAGGTGATTTTTCTAAGCACATGTTACACGCGGGTTCACAATTCCTAGAAATGGCCCGAGGTATTTTCTTCTAAGTCCCAGAAAGAAAAAGCCCATTAAATCTGGCCCCCACCCCAATTCTGGGCTGATCTAATTCCTATTCTAAAAGACGCCTTTCTCCAATTATGAAAACTGTAAATTCACAGGCAGGACTGAGGGATGTCCTACTATTTCTGTATTTTTATATCAGAATAGAAAACTGATGATGCAATATATACAATTATGGAATTATCAGAATATAAAAACCAACTATGGAGAGTCAGCCTGAGGGGACTGCGGGGCCTTGCTCGGCTGCTGTTAAGGCTGGAGATGGGGCAGAAGAAATCTGTTCCCGAAAGCCAGGAGGGGAAGTACAGCTGCAGAGCTGGAATGGAGGGAAGCCATTTTCTCCCCCTCCAGACCTCCGTTTCCCTCTGTGCCAGTGGCCTAACCACTTCCGCGACCCCAAAACGTTTCCACCAGAGGCAGCAGGGGAAGAAGGTCGGGACGCTCTTCCTTGCATTCTGCTGTAGGTGGGGTCTCTCCACGCTGGAGGCAGGAGCCCACCAGCTGGAGGGTAGCTCTGCCTGGTGTAATTAGTAATCAGAAAGTAAAATTTGAAATTGGGCGGGAGCGTCCATACAGCCCTGGACCACTTTTACGATACTTCCCTTTAGGCAGCGTCCTTATTTAGACCGAAGCTTTCATGTAGGGGCTTAGGAACATGGCCCTAGACATCTCAGGAAGGCGCAGACCAGTCAGATGAGTAACTGCCCTCGAGCGGGGTGCATCAGAGCCCGCTGCACTCACTGCCTGAGGACAGTCACGGGTCCTGAACTGTGCTGGCTGTCACCCTACCCCAGGGGTACTTTGTTTGACTTCCCAGGAGGAAAGTGAGAGTGACCGCGATTGGCTCGGCAGTGGCACATCTGGGGACGCCTGTCCTTAACAGCACGAGGTTAAAGAAGATGCGGGTTCTCTTGGGGACTTCGGTAGTTTTCTCCCGACTGGTGGGATGGTTCTCCCTGTTCGTAGGTTTGACCCCTGGTGGAGTGGTCTTCTCCCAGGTGATGCCTCGCTGAAATGAAAAGGCTGCTGACACCCCAGTATTTCAGCCTACTTGCTGGTAGGGAGAAGTCACAGATAATATCGTCAAGCCAGTCTTTCCTGAATGCTACTGACCGGCCTTCCTAATCTCAGTTCCAGTAAGCAGGCTCTCTGGGGTGATGCAGACACTCCCCAGGTGCAGACTTCTGGTCTCCCTATTTGACACGGACCACCCCACCACCACCCCGCACACGCACCTTGATTTCAGGAGACCCTGCAGCCCACTCCCCTCCTGGGACTCTACTCCCCTGCAGCTTTGATGACCGCCAATACACAGAAGCCATTTGCTCTGTTCTACTGTCTCCGGAACAATCTCACCTCGCTCTGTTTTTACTTAGACCCAGTTTCTTTTCTCTGACAAATCTTAGGAGTATTCGGATGTGAACTGAAAAGTAAACCCACAGGGAAAACATCCAGAACTCTCATATTTACTCTATGAAATGTCCTTCTCATTGAGGAATGTACTCTCATCACTAAGGAGAGCATCCACCTGGCCGGGTCCAGAGTCTTGGGAGACACCCATCAATAGCTCTTTCTTATTTCCAAGTCCTTTTCTTTTCTTATTTATTTTTTTAAATTTTATTTGTTTATCTGACAGACAGAGATCACAAGTAGGCAGAGAGGCAGGCGGGGGGTGGGGAGGAAGCAGGCTCCCCACCAAGCAGAGAGCCTGACGTGGGGCTCGATCCCAGGACCCTGAGATCATGACCCCAGCTGAAGGCAAAGGCTTTAACCCACTGAGTCACCCAGGCGCCCATTTCCAAGTCCTTATACTGGCAGACTGAGCAAAGTGTGAAATGCAGAGCTACACGGAGATTCTGGATTTGAAGTCAGAGGTGCTGAGTTGAAATCTAGCTTCTTCCTGGGGTTCTCTGGCCATGGGCCTTTAAGAGAGCCTCTGAAAGGCTGACTCCAGAGAGTGTAAACGGTGGTGAAAGATCCTAGAGACACATGTCAGGAGAGACTCCCCAGGCAACAGGCTACATAGCATTATAACATCACTTAAGGTGAAATAACTTTAAGGAATTACTGTCACAGGGAGGCAAATGCTAGATGCTAAGGAATGACACGCTTATGTGTAGCATGATACGGCCTCTAGCCAAGTTGTATCGACAAGTGAAATTTGTTCACTACATTTTCATGTAAAAGATCAGAAAATTACATTAAACCAACAGTGGGTATAATTAGGCAACAACAAACATTTTAATTAAATTAAAATTAAAAGACTTAGGCTCCAGCATAGCATAATACAGTTTCTGGTTGTGAAGAAACTCTTGGTTCCTAAACCTAACCATGAATGGGTTGGATAAGGATCAAAATCTAGTACGCTTTTTGCACATTTTGCACCTTTTCTTTTCGTTTTATCCACTGTGGACTGAGGGCTTGGTCCTCCCTGTATGTTCTTCCCACGTTCATCTGGGCGAGCTGCTCAATCACAACGTACAATTTATCACGTGTGAACAATCCGCAGCTCTTCAATTTGTTCTTTGATTTTACTTACACTTTTGAAGTATGAGGTATCAAGAAGGCATGAAGATTTCGGAGCTGTGCTAAAATCACCATGAAGCTTGACCTTTTGGCGTCGTATCTGTCAGAAGAGAAGCCTATGAAACCAGGAAAGGGCACAGGCCAGTTGTCCCTGCACCAAATTCTAGAACCGCCCTCCTCCACATGCCTTCCCTTACCTGAGGCCGATCTGCACCTGGGCCGTCTCCACGATGGTGACATCCCCATCACTGAAGGGAACATCTTCAGCTTCACTAGGCCTAGGGACAGGGCAACAGGGGGCGCAGGTGAACCGTTTATGAACATGGGTATTGACTGTCTCGGTTACTGTTTGCCACTTGCTGATTCTGAATGAAAACCTGAATTAACAGCACTCCTCAGCCTCCAGGGTACCTGACCCCAGGGAAAACTCACTCTTCTAGATCTTTCTTCACCTTTTCAAGAGGAGTCTGCCTCTGAGCCATTCAGGGAAAGACTTCCTGATGCCTGAATTTCCTGAGCCTCCCCGGGGGAAGGGGGTGTCCCTCCAACACCCTGAAATACGTTCCAGGCTTTTAGAAATAGACACGAGAAGGTTCATGTTCCAAACGGGGCGTGGCCAGCACCTCCAACATTCTCCTTAAAATTGAGTTTTAAGTCTCCAAGCGGGTCAGATGGGAGGTTTCTAATACACTGGAATTTTCAGGCCCACCATTTCTTTAATGCCCACCACCCTTCCACAGCAGAGCGGACCCCCAGGCTAGAGCCCACACACACGGCTAGGAGGAGGTAACCGTGTAACGCACAAGCGCTCTTGTGAGTTCTTACTGTTTCACGAAAGCTTCGTAGACCCCGCTGTCTCCAGCCACAGACTCGTCAGACACGGCAGCCGACACGCAGGCCGTCTTCTCCCCGAGCAGGTGGCTGGCTCTTCTTTTTGGTAATGATTTTTCCACATCTAGGGAGGGGAGAGCGAGCGTGCTAATTAGGATTTATTATTAGGAAAAGTTAAATGTAAAAATACACACATGGCTTGGTTAGGAGCAATCCCAAGGACTTTGCATCTGGGAATCGAGGACGTCGCTACTGGAGTGGACAGATGTGGCCGCTTCGAGGCATCCCGATGTTACAGAGGTCCCTGGGATGCCAGTTATTTTGATCATCGTTTGAGAAAGAATACAGTTTCTCTCCGCCCGGAAACACTTGAAGGGAAGGGATAAATGACACACATGGCTGTCGGTCCCTTGCTTCTCTCTGTTACGGATTCACTGCAGTCACCATCCGCTCAGTGGCAAGGAGCGAGCTGCATCCCTCGACTCTTAAACGATATTTCTGGAACAGAGAGCATCTAGCTACTCAACGGCAAGAAAGGTTTCTGCCTCTTCGGCTCCCCCCTTCCCTCCACACACCATAGTCTACATCTTGCGGGCTACCACGCTAACAGAAGCTAAAGAAAAAAAAAAGTCTTTGACTTATAGAACTCCTCACCAGCTAATACCATCAGGGGGAAGAAAAAAACAACTTTGTGCTACTGAAGCTTCAGCACCATCTCCCACTTAACTTTTATCTCTAACTCATATTCACACACTGTGTCCTGCGGTGAGCAAGGAGCGCTCGTTGAAAGCCACGATCCTATGGAGTGAGCCGCGAGCCCGCGGCGTTCTTTCATCGCCGGAGAGTGAGCGGGATCAGGATTGCTATGCATCTCGCCCCCCTTCTGAGTCGTGACTTTACATCTTGTTAAGATGTTTAAGTTTTAACGCTTCAGATTACAGAATTGATTGCTGCATTTCCCTTTTTATTTCTGGCAGTGGGAATGCTTTCTCCTTGATGATCAAGTGCCGCTCTCCGCCCACCCCCCTTCGTGAGGGGTGAAGGTGATGACGTGATTTATTGATTACCCCCGGGAATATCCGCGGCAGCTGAAATTGACTTTGACCATGACAGAGACTGAATGGAAGGACTTCGAAGTCATTCCGATGTGGTCTCTGTCCTCCGGCGGGGACTGGCGCCGGGGAGTGGGATGTGCATAAGGGAAGTCGGCTTGACCTGCAGAAGATTCCAGAGTGCTGAGGGAGAGCGAACAGCGTCACGACCCTGGGCCACCCGCCCCCACACAGAAGTCAGATGCCCCCGAATGGACCAAGTGCTGGTGATCTAACCTCTAGAGGATGAGTCTTTACAGTTAAATACATGCTTTTAGCTGTTTTCACACATGGCTCTCGACACGCTTTCCAAAGAAAGCTCTCGGATATCTTCCTTTAGGGTGACTGCTTTCTAAGGTAGCAGCTTTCTAATACAAGATGCGTTTGAAAGGTAAGAACTCTCTCCTGGAAGCTTTGGCGATGCTGCGTTCTTGGAGCAGACCCAGAGGCAGGAGCAAGGCTAGAGTCGGGCAAAGAGGCCCACAGACCCAGGTGGGGTCGGACCCTGGGCAATTCTTGCACTGGTCTCCCGGTTCTCTGGCAGCCAGCCTCACGGACCAGCCCCTCCAAACTGACTGAGTGTTGAGAATGGGTCGCTGGGGAACATTCCAAATACACAAAGAGTGAAAACAGCTTTGACATGCTCAAGAGCCTTCAAGTCCAAAGCACAGAAGTGTGGCACAGAAAACAAGCCACTTTCTTTTCTTGCTTCTTCTTGTGCACTTTCATGTCAGCAGCCTGTGGTAGGAACCGGGCTCAGCACCGTCCATATTGTTTAACCGCACGCGGTAGCACTAATTACATGAACAGAGTACTCAGGAACAGAATGCTGAGTGCCAGGCCCAGTCAGAGGCTGTCGCTGTGCCCTGGCATCCATTCTCCCAGTCCCTTGCGAGGAAGGGCCTTTATCATCACCACTCTGCAGGTGAGAAACAACAAAGCGGAGGGCCTGGGTAACGTGCTTGTGCTCGCTAGAACCAGAGGATGCAGGCGCGGCTGGCTCCAGGGGCGGAAAGCACCGCCCGGCCCCCCACACTGCATCCTTCCTGGAGGGCAGAAGGGAGGCCCCACTGCTGGCTTCCGCTCGCCTGGAATCACTAAGAAAAGCCACCCGTCTGCTCATTTTCTCTGACGTCAATGAGGTCGTTGACACATCACTTGCAGCTGTGGCCCCTTCCAGGCAGTGCCACACAAACCACACAGATGTCCCCTGTGCCCTCCAGGCTGCCGGCAGGAGGGGTTTCGGCCTCCAGGATCGGAAATCACACACACGTGCTGGGTTTGTCTCTCTCTTTAAACATTGAAACTGGCCAATGAGTTAAGACTTAGAATTCTCCAGCCCAGAGATAGAAAATAAGGAGGCTTCTCAAAGCAGCAGAAAAGTACTTTTGAAGAGGCCTGGCTTCTTCTGCGTCATGGACACAGTGATGTGCATAGATCTGAACGGGGCTCTTGGGGACCCGAACTGGGGCTTTTAGCTCATGCTGCGTTTCAGGCTAGCTCCAGGGCAGACCACGGTCCTCGGGCCACAACGGTGGTTATCAGCCAACAAGGGTACCATCCTGTTCTTTACAACCATCTCTAATATACTGAGAGCTTCCGCCTTGCAAAGGGAAACAGATATTGAAGTAAAACAAAACAAAACTAAACAAAAACCGAAAAATGAAAACTGGTCCTCTGTTTCTGTCTCTGCATACGAAGGCAGCAGCGAGGGCGCGAGAGGCGGCACACTTTCCTGGGCTGCAACTAGCAAAGCGGCCAGCAGATGGCAGGCTAACACTACCACATCGGAACCCGCTCTCCCCCAAATTCACTTCGGGAAGAAAGGGAGAGAGGGGCACGAAACAAAAATTGTATTTATACAGAATTCCCTGAGCAATCTAAACATTGAACCCTGATACTAATTAACTGCTATGCTAATTGCCTTGGTTTTAATCTGTTTTAGGCCGACTTTTAAAAGAAAGCCCTCTTCTTTCGCCTTGCTATTTCAGAGCCCGAATCTATTTGGCGGTGTGAAGTGTGTTCACAAGACGTGTCCCCAGCCAGCTGCCACCGTCCAAAGGGTTTCTGGACAATAGGACAGATACTTCGTGATTAAATCTATTAAGCAAGGAAGGCGACTTTTATTTGATAAAGAAAAAATGTCTAGTCTAGGTATATCAGTAAAAACTCCTTCTCAAATGAAGCCGAGAGAGAGAGAAAAAGAGAGAGAGAGAGAAGGGTGGCGGGTGGGGGGGGGCCAAAATTTGTTTCCATGGAAAAAGCAGCCCTCCCACCATTCTTCTTAAAATAACTAAGGGGGAGGAGCCGGAAGCAAAGGTCTCCGCTCACCTGCAGTTCCTTCATACAAGGGCTCCCGGGCACATTCCCCGAGGTCCTTATCCTCCGCGAGAGGCTGGGACACTCCTCCTGAATGAGAATCCAGCAAGATCTGACTTTCGCCGAGGCTGAGGTCTGCAAAATGGCCACTCAATTCACAGTCTTCAAAGTCAGCAGTGAACCGATGGAGAGGGACATCGTGAGCAGACATGGGGAACGTGCCTTCTAGGACCAAGGGAGAGCCGGGAGGGGACAGGGAGGAGAGGGAGGACCGTGAGGACAGGGACGTCACAGACTTGGGGGCCTCAGTCCGTGGGGGTGTGTGGCCTGCGGCCGTGGCTGCCACCCCGCAGGGACCGCTCTGGCCGGGCTGGCTGGGGGACCTGACCACTTCGTTTTCATGGATGGTGGTGATGGGTCCGGAAGGAATGTAGCCGCCTTTCTCCTGCAGAAGGAGGTCCAGTTTGCACTGGTAATCCGCGTCTGTCTGGTCGCTCTGACTGGTGTAATAGAGCTCTCCGGAACTGAGGGAGCTGAGCGAGCCCCTGCTGGAGGTGTTCAGAGACCCCCGGCTGGAGGCCAGGGAGCCCAGGCTGCTCCCAGACGACATGGATAGGGTGCTGGCCGAGAGGCTGAGGAGAGAGGGGCCCTCGCTGTGAAAACTGGTATGACACAGAAACCCAAGCGCGATGCCCACCGCCTCCTCCGCATCCCAGAAGGAAGGAACCCAGTGGCGCCAAACAGCATAATGACGGGGGGGGGGGGGGGGGACGGAAAAATAACCCGTTATTATGATATTACCTATTGCCATGCTGACTCACGAACACTTTCAACCTGGCTCTCTATACAGCAACTCTGTTCTGACTAAAGATCGAGTCCCCTTTGCAAAAACCAAAGCCAAGAAAGTAATGAACACCTACCGACAAATCTACCTGCACAGAGAGCCCGCAGCAAGTAGGCGATGTAATAATAGGGAAGGGGAAAACAGTGTATATGGTACTGAGTGCTAATGCAATTATTTTGGTTAAAGAATAAAGCTTTGAAACTTGTCAGAGAACAAAGGCAAGCTGATGCACACAGGTTTCACACAGGCCCGTCTCCCTCGGGGCGTGTGTGCTGAAGGAGTGAACACGTAGCTATTTTAAGGCAAATCTTTCCTCCCCCTCCCTTTTTAAAAGAAAGGGTGATCTGAAGAAATGTGTCATTTCCTAAGTATGTCTTCACAGCTAAAATATATAAACTATATCTTCTTCCCACAGTATCTTCTGCCTATGACTTTGGGGTTTGTGGGGGGAAAAAAATCTATGCAACTTTAAATTTGATCATCCAAGTTTTAATTTTATTAGCATAACTATTTTATTTACTTTTTAAAAAAATATTTTATTTATTTATTTGAGAGAGAGAAAGACTGAGAGATCACAGAGGCAGAGGGAGAAGCAGACTCCCCGTCGAGCAGGGAGCCCAATGTGGGACTCGATCCCGGGACCCTGGGACCATGACCTGAGCTGAAGGCAGAGGCATAACTGACTGAGCCACCCAGGTGTCCCAATTTTATTCACTTTCTAATAGTTGAACATAAAGGGAAAAGTAACCCAGAATGAACCAAAACATGCCTGAATGTAGTCAAGAAAGTGTAGTCAAGAAAAACCTTTCCCTCAAGAACCAAGCAGGCTTACCTTTTAAGTTGTGAATGCAAACAAGTAGTTAATTTAGTACTTTCTTCAAGTTTCTGTAGGAGCTCTTTCCTTCGCTCTTCCAATTTCAATCTAGAAAAAAGAAACAGAAATGAATTTATTTCCACGTAATTACAATAAAACAGAAACTAAAGGAAAAGATTCTTATTATACAGACATCATGTACCATGAGGGGAAAACCCAAATGAATGGACAGGAGAGAAAACAGAGCCACCGACAAGAGGCAAAGTGGGCCAACCGTCCACGGCCACGCTTAGCGAAGAGGGAGATCTCTTCCGACTCAACGTTACTGAGAATCTAAAAAATTCCAGTATTCTAAAATTTTCTTAAATGTTTTTTTTTTTTTAAATTATGTTACGTCAGTCACCATATAGTACATGTTCTGTGATTCACAGTTTGTGTATAACACCCAAAGACTTGTGCTCTCATGAGGCATGCAAAGACAGCCAGGAGGAAAATCACAAACCACTAAGAAAGATCACAAAATCCTTCCACAGGCCTGGGATTTGGCCTAAAGTTACTAAAACACTTGACAGGTGTAACAGAGAACCATGAAAGACTGTCCTAAAGTGCTGGAATTGACAAAGACCGTTCCCAACTGATAGTGACAAAAATTCTAATCTTACTTTGATGAGAATTTCAGCAATTAAGAAACAAATTAGTCCATATTGCCAGTGTGAACTCATTTGGGCTTAACGGTTTCAACAAGGAAAAGAAACAAAAGTGATTTCCCTTCCTACCCTATAGCACATCTCATTGTCTGCACCAATGATCACGAAATTTCATCCACATTCAACCGACCAAGGTTTTAAAAAATGTGGAGTGTTGGGGCACTGTGTATGTGAGTAAATCATTTAAAAATATATCAAGCATACAGTCTATGTCACCCGTCTTTGGACATCCCTGGAATGAGCCTGTCCAGAGCGGTCAAGGACCACAGAACGGGACCGAGAAGACCACTGTGGTTTCTGGATCTCCTGCTACTAATTGTGTGTCCCTAAACGAGTCACTTAGTCAAGGGGTCCCAGCTTTCTCATCTGCAAATTGGCGATTAAAATCCTACTGTGTCTGTCTGCTAAGGCTGTTACAGGGATCAAATGCAGTGATGTATGTAAAAGTGCTCTACAGACATCAAAACAAACCTTCCTTGTTCAAAGCCTCAGCATGCCTTGCAAGGTGGGCATATAAAAATTAGCTATTTTTCTTTGGAGAAAAATAAAATTTCCCTAATTTCTAACCCCTTTGAAATGTGTTTTAGGCAGTAAGGAAACATGCCCATATTTTATTTATAGCTACCTACCCTTTGAAGTGTCACCAACACAATTTCATTATATGGTAAAATTTAAAAAAAAAAAAAAGCAATTCTTGTCATTTTGTTTAGTACTTCAAAGCATGATAAATTCTTAATTCCCAGCTTTCAAAGGTGTATTTTGGAAAGGAGTAGACGGTCCCTATTTTTTTAATCTCTTAAATATAAACAAAAACTCAACATGGAAAAAAATTAATACAACTGAGATGAACTAAATTAGAAGGTAAAGATCTGGAGAAAGGCCCCAAATCCACTAAAATCCATGTCTTCTGAAACAGGAGAAACATTTTTGAAGTGAGTTCTAAAACGGAATACTGCACTAACAAATGAAGGCTTTTCTGGTGTGTTAAGGAGGCTTCAATAAGACATTAGTGTGTTTCATGCTGAAATTTAAAATCCAAAGCTTTCCCTGTCTTCGTCCCAAGTGATGGTCCCCATTCTGGCCTCCTCAGGCCCACTGCTAAGCCCCTCTATGGCTTTGAGCTGCCGAGCCTGCTTTCATGTTCTTGTTGGTGTGCTCCCCAGTTAGACCTGAAGCTCCTGGAAAGCACCAGCTCTTTCTCCCTCTTCTGCCTGGGCTGCCTGAAGAGCCTGGAGCCCCTCCCAGCACACCCTCAGGGCCGGTGGTCAGTGTTTCCAGATAACGCCTGCCTTGGGAGAAGCACAATGAAGGCACTCAGGAGCCCTCCAGTGGGGTGGCCATCTTCGATCGGGTGCCCCATTCTTCCATCTCTGACGGAATCACGGAAGCCGGAAGTCTTCCTCAGATTCCGGGTGTCCTTTGTAGGAAGAATCCTGCCCTCACCAATGTCCCCCTGACCAGGGATTACAAGAAACTGCTGATATCAGCCCCTTTGAGAGGGTGCGTCCCTGTCTCTCCAAGCCCTTCTCCACGGTGAGAAAGGATCTTCTCAACCTGGCCCCTAGAAGATTACTTTCCTCCTGGTCCTACTGACCCACACTATCCATTCATCTGCGCTTCGCAAGACAAGGGCAGCGTCTTCACACTGTCCTCTCTCTGCCCTTGTGCCCTGAGAGAAGCACCTGCCTGGTCTCTCCCGAGGAAGACCACCCAGAATGTTCTACCTAGGGAAAATGTCATGTCATCTATAGAAGTAAGAAGTGCCTTTTCCATTTAAAAAATGACACTCATACCCCCAACCTACTTGCTTTAAAATTTTTTCAGAATCAGAGACAGAAACATTCACATAATTAAGAAACAATTAAGACATGCTGGCAGACAGACAAAGCTCTCAAGCAAGAGAATACGGAGCTGTGAGAATATGAATCTGAGAAAATATGGAGCAACGTTACGATCTTATTAGCTACAGTGTTCTGCAGCACAGAAGTTTTGGAATTTCAACGGCTGTATGGCAAGGACACGGAAGATGTGTAAAAATGTGTAAAGCAGATATTTTTAATTTGAGAGCGACTCGTGCTTGCTGATGGTCCCTCATGGTGAGCAACTCCCTCTCCCCAAAGCGCTTTATGACCCATGGTGGGGGCTTCGTCACCGCATTTGAGCGCTTGGCCCGGGTGCAGGGCAGTGCTGGTGGCACACACGGCTGGGGGCATCTGGGGTCAGGTGAGCTCGGCCCCGCAGAGACCACCTTGTGGCACTGACTCAGACTCTTGCCCGAGGCCACCCCTGGAATCAAGAGAAGCCCGCCACGTCAATGGCAAATGGGACCCATTTGGGAGGATGCAGAAGTGCTCTGTCTGGCAGCTGAGTAGGAGCCAAGAGGAAACGTAAGGATTTAGAACTGGCAAAGCACGATTTGTTTTATGATGAAACGAGGCTTTACACGGTGAATCGTATTTCCCAGAAGCCTCTCCCGACACCACCTGCTTTAGCCCGGGACGCAGGCTGTGTACAGGGGCACTCACTTGTCTTCTGAGCACCCCATTTCAGTTCACTAGTAACAATAAATGGAAGAGAAACACTGTATGTGCACGAGGGGGGAGGAAATAATGATCAAGAAAAGGTAAGAGAGTACGGGGGACAGAGGGCAAAGTCAAACCACTGACAACAGCCACCCAGCCCAAAGCCACGCCGTCTGTGTGTACCCAGCAAATACAGGACACGGTGCTCCCTTCGGCTGGCGGCTCTGCTTCTGGATGCATGAGATGCTGGGCCATCCTGCATCCACGGAGAGCAGCGAGAAAATCAAGTTGCTCAAGCAAGAAAGCATTCGTCCCCTCAAGCTTATATGACAACATAATGACGGGATTTGGCTTCCGGCCACCAACCAACACATGACAGATATAAAACACAACTGTACACACGTCCCTTTTTGCCAACAGCCAATTGTGGGAGACAGGGCCATGCAGGTATCGGAAGTTAGAGGGATTTTCAAACTGCTTCCTTATTCCCCATCTGACACAAACCCCACGGTTTGTCTGGATCTAAGTATACAATTATTTTATGTAAGTATTTCACAGCTCCTCTTCCCAAAGGGCTCAAACGCACTCTTTCTGCTGGAATTTGGACAGTTATTACATGTACTATGCACAAGCCAAGGTATAAAACCCAGAACCTAGGCACTTAGGAACAAACTGTATTTTTAATGTTACTTCACCAGTCATTTTCAAAGCTCTAGCCCTAATAAAAAAGACAAACAGGACATCACACCCATAAAAGCTGGTTAAAACGAACACACACAGGGCGCCTGGGTGGCTCAGTGGGTTAAAGCCTCTGCGTTTGGCTCAGGCCATGATCCCAGGGTCCTAGGATCGAGCCCCACATTGGGCTCTCTGCTCAGCAGGGAGCCTGCTCCCCCCACCCCTCTCTGCTCACTTCTCTGCCTACTTGTGATCTCTGTCTGTCAAATAAATAAATAAAACCTTTAAAAAACAAAACAAAACAAACAAAAACGAACACACACTTGTCTTCTCACTCCCAGAACAAATCTAAAGGCTGCTTCCAGGCCCTTCCCAGGTTCACACACCACAGAGAACGGCAGAGAGGCGCTCAGCGCATTCCGCACATCTGATGGGAACACTTAGTGTGACACTGGACGCTAATGCCCTTGCTGCTTCATACGTGGGCCACAAAAAAGCTACTCGTTTCATCCTATTTACTGGCGATTCGCAAACTTTCATCCTACAAACTGAAGATCTATAATCACAGACGGGACATCGAGGTAACTCAGGAAAGCAATAGAATTCTGCCCTCTCTCCCTTACTTTTTGCTCCTCTGGTCTCTGTGGGGTGGATCGTCCCCCGCCAGCCTCGCTCACGCCTGCTGTGAGGGTGAACCTTCAGTCGGCACCACCAGAAATGACCAGCAACATCCGAGGTCTTTCCTCCTACTGCTCCCCCCACCACACTTCCAAGATTCTGATATCATGTAGACACACAGCCCTCCACGTCCACAGAGGACATGGAATTCGAAGGCCAGAAGCCAAGAAGTTAAAAAAAAAAAATCAATTGGATTATGGGTGGGTGGTTTAAACTTACTTCCAGGTCATCTGAAATGATACGGATATGACCTTCCTTCCTGTCCTCCTAGGACAGGCAGTGCACCTGGATTGCTGGCCGATAGAACAGAAGGCTGTGCGGGGTTCTGAGCGGCCTCACGGGCTGTGGCTGGAACAGGGGTGGGGCCGTACCCGCCAGTGAGGCTGGGACCCGGGGCTCCCTCGCCCATGCCTCAGCAGCAAACACCCACACGTTCCCCTGCCTGACCCTGCAGCTGATCCGCTTACAGAACCGGATTTTCTCAGATTCCGTGATCCTTTCGCACCTTCCCCCGGAAAGATCAGAAAACCACGACGGGTGTTTTCCTTTACATTTTCACCTGCCTCGCAGGAGGGGCTCAACTGACAAACACAATCCCAGTAAACATTCTGTGGCCTGTTAAGATATCAAAGGGAGCAAGCTGTCTTTCCCTTGTGAAACGAAAAGCAATAAACTTTTGCATTCTTGTGAGTCATAAACCCCCGAGTAGGAAGCTGCCGCCGCTGTAACAGTCCAGATAATGTTTCTTATCAGAGTGCGATAGTTTATAGCCATTGTTATCAGACTCTGTCCGTGATGGACTGCATTCCTGGTTTTATGTCAACATTCCTTACTTGTTCAACACCTGTCACGGGCATTTTCGCGTTCCTAACCGACAGAAGAACGGGGACCGCAGCCTGGACCGGGGGGCGGGGGCCTTACTGCCCTATGGAGAGAAAGTCCCTTGGGGTCGGGGCTCCATCCACCAAGAAGAGATGCGATGGAGGTTTCCAGAGACCCAGGGCACCGGGCGCCTAGCCCAGGTGCGCACACGGTCTGCCGCGTCCTTGTCCCCAGGGAGGAGAACAAACCTCTCGGCCAGGGCCCGGCTCGGGGGACCCCGCACGGACAGCAGCTCCTCCTCCAGCCGCTGCCTCTCGGCCTCCAGGCGCTCCAGCTCGTCGCGGGAGCGCTTCTGCGGGGTGACAAACTGCAGCTCCTTCAGAAGCTCCTCCTTCTCGTGGATCAGCATCAGCTTCTCCTTCTCGATGTCCAGTGCTCCGGGCCACGTCTCGCTGTCCAGTTTCGACAGTTCGATTTTTAGGTTGGCCATACTAAAAATAAAGCAGTGAGAGAGGGGGGTGCAGGCTTAGAACTCTCCCGAAAGGGAGAACACAAAGCAGGCTAAGTTGGGGGGTGCGGGCTGGAGGCTTGCTGTCCTGACTTTCCACAGAGGCCGGGGAAGAGGAGCAACCCCGTCCGTCCTCCAGGCCCTGGGCCTCACTCAACACCTGGCTCTCGTCGGCTGCCTTTTCCTCACCTTTCCGACAGCTGCAAGCACCAGCCTATCTGAGAAAAGAGTGAAGGTCAACGTACACTGAAGCTTAAAAGCCAGGGAGCTCTGGGAGCTGCGGGTGCTGCCCCGATGTGTGACCACCTGTGCAGGGTGACAGGAGGGACATCTGGAGGGCTTCCGTTAAAAAAAAAAAAAAAAAGAAGGTAAATGCTGTCTGAAGGGACATTATTATAGATTTTTGTTCCTCTGGGTAAAGACGCTGTCCCCCAGTAAAATGGTAGTCCCGGGGTGGGATGGGCAGCAACTGGGATATCAGCCAGTCAGGGAAGGATGAGGGGAGACGAGACAGCAGTGGCTTGGCCAACCAGTATTAAACCAAGTCAATCCAGCAGGTTCCACGTGGCCAAGGAAAAGGGAGCAGCCCTGCCCTCCCTGACCTCCTCCACCCAAACCCTCCTTCAGTGAGCTGTGCGGTGTGAAATCAGTGTCTACACTGCTTATTGAGTGCTCACTGACCAGCCCCGTAGACGTGACTACACGGACCGGGGCGTCTTCCATCCGGCACTCGGTGCACCCTCCCCGGTGTGGACGGACAGCTAAGGCAGCCCCAGCGGAGTGATAGCCAGTGCTGGAGCACGGGGGACAGGGATGGGAGGAGGAGAAGGAAAATCCAGCGGAGGCAAACATCACTGGTTTCGTAGTTTTGCCTGACCTCAGATTACACCATGCCTCAAGCTAAGCGGTCAAGTTAGCTTCTGACAGAATGAGAACGTTCTGACATCCCCAAGATCAACCGACTTGCTCTGGGGGCACCGTGAGGACTATCGGGAGGGTTCACAAGGCAAATCATGAACACAGCTGATGTTGGCACAGGGAATCTAGATGCCTACATAGAAAAAAAAAAAAGTTGAATGATCCCTGCGGATACTGTTACAGCACATACCAGAATACGAAAAACAGAAAGAGGGCATTTTATTTTTCTTTTTTAATGGAAGAAGTTGTAGAAAGGAGGAAAAAGGTAAGCAAAATAATGTCATCAGGACAAAGATGGAAGTATATCTACATTCTTGCGCCATAGTTTCTCGTTTGAGTTAAAGAAAAAAGACCGTCCTCTCTCACCAGCACTGCATGTACAACATGCTTCTGATGTCCACCCCAGCGCCCGCTCTCATGGCAGAGGTAACATCAACCATTCTTCAGCCAGAACCACAAAACTACACACAACTGTCTCAATGTGCTAGAAAATTAATCATCGAAATGCTAAATAAGCATGATATTATTAGCTTCGTTAAGCACATAAAATGAAGGCTGGGAGAGAAAACAAGTTTCAGGGAAACACAGCCCGCCTCTTAGAACTGAGGAAGAAAAGCATTTGCAACACATGCATGAACGCCTGAGGTTTCCCTTCTCATCAGCATTGCTAGTAACTTTAAAAAAAACCCCAAATGAGAATGGGACAGCAAAGCAACCAAATGGGAAAGAACCCATGTCTTGAGCTTTGATGCGATTGTATTAAGAACTGAACCGGGAGCGACAACATAATGAAGGGAAGAGAGGTATCTATTACTTGCGGGATCGGGTGTTAGGTGGGTCTTGGGTTTTATTTGGAAAGGGTACACCAGATCTGGGGACCAAAATATGATGAAGATTTCCAGGTGCACCTAGGAAGAGAAACGCTGTGTAAGCTTCAGATGGAAAAAGCCGTTCACAGCCAGACGAAAGCAAAAGCTCCAGCTGGTCCTAACTGGTCCAAGGGAGGTCAAGTTGAGCCCCAAAGAACAAAGAACCCAGGGGCACGAGGCCTGGTTCTCCAAAATTAACTGAGTTCCGGCCATTCTCCTTCAAAATGCCAGGCAGAGATGCTGGGCTTTATTTACAGCAGAACCCAGGAGCTGTGGCTGCGGCTGGTTGGTATGCTCACAGACAGAGGACCACAAACAGTACCCACCAGAGGTTTCCACATCACTGGGCCACAAAACCACAAGGAATCCTCAATCCTTGGTGGTGAGCAAGGCATTAGCTAGGGCTCTGAGAAGAAGCCAATACAGTATACACAATTCTTGCATAATCTACCTAGGAAAACTTACAGGCATTGAAATTAACTGAGTGAAATGCTCTTCAGAGAAACCAAGTGACTTGCTCAAGCACACGTGGTTAGTAATTTGTAGAACAAAGCTTATGGGTTTTGTTCTTTTTTTCAGTCATCAAAGAACCAAGTAATATTAGTAAGAAAGCTACAAAGAGGCAAATATCGTATTTAGGCAAATCAAATAATTGCTTTGTTAAAGCCAGATAACCTCCAAGAACTTCAGCTAACTACTTTTAAATAATCCGTATCACCAATGACAATGGATAATACTTCATTATCTATCTGATGGTCCTGTGATAGCAAACTCTGACCTTCTAGCAGGTTCTCAGCTGAGCCTTCCATGCTCTCAAGGAGGAACATGGTAACCTTCTCTGTCGCCTACAGGGTGGTAGTACAGTTTTTTTCCCTAAATAATAAATCATTTATTTCTTCCTAAATAATAAATCAAAGCATTTTTAAACTCTAAAAAGGAAAATAATGAAATCAAATAGAATAGCATGACCCTCTCCCTCAGAATGAGCAAGGTGTCCCTATTATGAAAACAAGTTGAGCCTGACTGCTGGATGAGGAGGGAGAAGTCTCCTGAGCCTTCCCCAAGCAGAGTTACAAAGTGAGAAGAAGAAAGCACAGGGTTCCAAGGGTCTAGAGGATAAACGAGGGACAAAGGAATCTCTTCCCCTTTGCCCTGAAGTCAGTTGCCAGAACAGATATCTCAGGATCTTCAAGGAGGTTGGCGGGAACTCTTCCCTCAAAGCAAAGGAATTACAGCTATTTACCTAGAGGTCCTCGGCCGCTGTCAAGTCCTGTACCGGAGCCACTGTGCCACGATTCTACCTGAGAAACCGATCTTCGCACTTCTACTTGGGAATAAGTACTGGACAAGTTCTAAGCTTCTTTCTTCCAGAAGAGAAGAGAAGGGGCAACGTCATGCGCACGCTTCTCACTAATTCTCCCTGTCCTTCAGTTGTGGGGGGAAACAGAGAGCAGAGAGGGTGGTCTGCAACCCTTACGTCTAAAAACCCTCAAGAGTAACCTTGGTAAGAAGGCGTTGGGGAACACCCAGCAGATGTCACTGTAGGAATAAAGATTAATTCTGGGAAGGAAAACACTGTTTGTGCCCGATGACCACTGAACACGGAAGAGCTCCCCTTTTGTTACCTTCTTTTGGCTTCTTCATACTGTAGGCTCAGCCTGACCTTTTCAGCTAAATTTGATCTACTTCTCACTCCGATCTGGTAAATAAACAAAAGGGAAAAAAAGTCAATTAACTCTGCTAATGAATGAAGGTAAACTGCTTTTGTTTCTAGAAGGCACAAGTAATTGGAAAACTAAAGAAGATGGTCTTGAAATTGGGAACACCAGTTTTAAAAGGCACTTACTTTCTAGTCTCAGTAGGGGCAAAACATTTCTTTTTAATTCAAGCTTGTCTGTTTTTCAAAGACCCTTTGAACATCATTTTCTCCACACATTCAATTCAAGATAAAAAGTATTATGTCAATGTTTCTGGTATCTCAGAGTTTACGGAGGGTGTACAGGTCAATAAAATATATGAACTGAAACTAATTTCCTTGCCTCCGTGAGCTCAAATTCCATCATCTAGCTTCTAAATGCAAAAACCATAAACTAAATAACTGCAAAAACTCATATTTCAAACAGGTAAGTCTTATTGTTGATCTCTACCTGTTTCATTTTCATAGCAGAGAATTCAAGGAAGTAAAAGAGAACACAAAAATAGCAGTGAATGAACTAGAAAAGTAAGTATCCGATGAATGGCATCCCAAAGAGAATGCAAAAACAGTTAACAGGAGTCAAGCCACGGCAAGTATCTTCAAATCCTGGGCATAAACCGCAATTCAAAGTTTTAATATAAATAACCTTTGATCTACAAAAAAATTTTTCTAAGGCGTATTTTTTTTGTTTCTCATTAGCCTCAATGTTTAATTGAAAAGATTCTAAATTTTGAAGATCTTAAATGTAATAGGAAAAACTTAAATTCTCATGCATCTCTACCCTTTCAACAACATCTCCGAATAAATACAGTCTGAGAAAATTTGAACCAAGCCGTTCACATGAACAGATCCTGATCCGCTCGGCACCCAGACAGAAAAGGTAAGACTCTGGGTTTTTAAAAGCAATCTAGGAGGCAGAAACATTGAATCCACACAGCTGTGAGGCAAACTACCTCGCTAGCTCCTGTCCCACTTGCCACCCATCCAGTACTTCAGGCTCATCAAAGACAGTGCTAGGGCCAACCCTTCCCTACAGATAACTTACGTCTCCAGAAATGCTTGTCTGTGACCCGGCGTCAAGGGTCTGTCTGGAGAGAGATAAATTCGAGTTCACGGGACTGGATCTCAGGTCTGGCTCGGATGTGCCAATGCTCTGATCCAAGTGGAACCGCTCCTGCAGCTTAGCCAGACTCTGTTCAGGAAACACAAAGTCCAACCTAGAGCTTAACACTTAAGACGCAGAACCTGGCCAGCGGGTCAACTCAAATTGAGAGACGCAATCTCAATAGAAAAAAACGACTTTATTTTAACAGGTACTTATCACTTTAAATTACTGAATAAATAAGATGAGACTATCATTTTGCACAAATACATGTGTGACTCTGGAAGTATGTGAGATAATCATAAACAGGTTATCTTACCTTCCCCAAGACAGCCCGGGAATTATTCCTGCTGCGCGTAATGGCATCTTTATACGTGATACATGAATTTCTTGTTTTTAAAATTTCATTGAAAAGAGCTCTATTTTAAAAAGACTCATTTTCACTTCTCATTTCATACAGCAGGAATTATGGAAATACGGACTACCTACAATGCAATCTCATTGCAGATACAGCAAGAAAACTTCCTCTCCAGCAGACTCCTGGAATGATGCCTTTTGCACATCTGGATGGAACCCAAGGGATTATTGGCTCCCACTACCGTCAGAGATGAGGAGACCGAGGGCCAGGAGTCCCAGTCCTGGTGGCTGATCCAAGCTTGCTGTTACACCCACACTTAGTAAACTGAGCTTACTTTAACTAGAGGACGTGAGCAAAGGACAGTGTTAAGAAGGAGAAAAATCTTAGCTACGCTGCTACCAACCCAGATTCCCCCTCATAAAACACTAATAAAAATGGTAAGAAACTCATTATTACTAACTTTAAGAAAAGCCAGGATTTAATCCTGACATTTACAATTCTTATAATAAAAAATGAGAAAATGATAAATGTTCCCCCAAATTAGAAATTTCAGAGATCTGATATGTGCTTTTTACCTAAACTTCTTTATTTTCTTTCAGAGGAGTATTTAGGCAAAATGCTTGTACGAGAGGGAAAAAACTCAAGCAGTCCCATCAAATAATATACTACAGAAAAGAACAAAGAAACCTTTTAGTGACTCTGGGCAAGTCTTTTCCATTTTTTCATCAGTACAGTGAAAAGACGAGTATTTTTTTAATCTGTCCGTGTCGACCATGCTCCTCATCAAATTAGTAGGTCAGGACTAGCACGTTTTTTGATGAAAAAGAAGAGACTAGAAAATCAATTCAGACCATGTTGCTAGTATTAAGAGTATTAAGAAATAAGTATTAAGAAATACGGTGTGTGGGGGCGCCTGAGTGGCTCAGTTGTTAAGCATCTGCCTTCGGCTCCAGTCGTGATTCCAGGGTCCTGGGATCAAGCCCCATATTGGGCTCCCTACTCAGCGGGAAGCCTGCTTCTCCCTTTCCCTCTCCCCCTGTTTGTGTCCCCTTTCTCGCTGTGTCTCTCTCTGTAAAATAAATAAATAGAATCTTAAAAGAAAAAGAAAGAAAGAAAGAAAGAAAGGAAGGAAGGAAGGAAGGAAGGAATAAATAAATAAATAAATAAATATGGTGTGTGGGTGTGTGTGTGTCCCAACATAAAGACACTGGTGTGTGACTGGGCTGTCATTAGAATATATCTCTTACAGTGGTTCATGGTCAAAGAGCTCCGAAAGTCAGAGAAGCTCCCACTTAATGTCCCTCTCAGCTCTAATGCTGATTGCCCTACCTACTAATTGTTTTTTATACTTTAGGTAGTTGAAAAGGAATCTAATCTTTTAATTTAATCTGGTCTGTGTATAAATCCAAATTTCTTCTTTATGGGAACAATCAAAGATAACTTCCAATTGCTGAATTATAAAGTTCTAATGTAAATTTGCTCAAGTTCTTAACTTTTTCCAAAGGACCTATGATGTGCATTTTAGGAATTACTCATTTAATCACCAGGACTATTGTGGAACAAAACAAAAATACCTCCAAATAAATTTTTCTATGTTTCATATATATATTTAAAACCACATACTCTAGAAGCAAGGCTGCCTAGGTTTAAACCACAGTCCTACCACTTCTGAGCTGTGTGACTTGAAGTTACTTAATTTTTTTTGTACTGCAATTTCCTGTCTGTAGGTAAGGATAATATGAGCCCATCTTCAGGGTTGCGGTCAGAATTAAATGCACTACTTTCATGCAAGGCAGGGAGAAGATGGCCCAACACACAGTCCGTGCTCAGAAGGCTTTGCTATTAATACTATTATCTTTTCTATTTGATCTCTTCTTGCAAGTTATTTCAAAATTCCCTAAAGGCAAAATTATAGGTGTTTAAGAATATGTACCTATGTTCAGTTAACATTTTGAAAACTGACATGAACTAGTTGACTATAGTATTTAAAAGTAGCGTTTCTACTAAGAATGCGAACATTGCCGCTGGCTCTAACATTTTTCCTACATCACAGACTAAATCCTTACTCAGAGCTCCAAATATCTGAAATACAAAGAATTTTCAGGCCTCTGATAAGTATGGGATTGAGGGAAGGTAAGAAGAGGAAGAGACACACTCTTCGGAAAAAAGGAAAAAAAAACAAAAACAACCCGACTATACTTACTGAAAATAGGTATTTAAAATGCAGGATACTGACCACTGAGTGGTTGTTTCTTTTGCACACAAGGCTGGATCAGCATATAGGAACCTAGGAACCCACCAATTTACCTCCAACGCCACCTGTGGCCTCAATGCCTAGGCCAAAGTCTGTCTGAATGAGGCAGCATGAGCAAAGGCCATCCAGACTCTGATGGAGAACTTCTGCCTCAAGGAGAGTTTCTGGGGCCCCAGAGGGTAGGTGTCTGACTTAAAAAATGTTTTGCAACATACCTGCATCAGATCTTGCTTTTCTTTTTCTCCTGAACTAATAGCCTTTCTGATAGATTTCAGTTCGGTTAGAATGGCTTTGGCTTCACTAAGTTCATAGCCACTCTGGCCTCCGGACATTTTTTTATCTATTCTGTTGAGAAAAAAAAGAAAAGAGGAAAAAAAGTCAAAGAGGGTTGACAGAGTACAAGTTAAGCTAACAGTCTAGGAACCGGTTTTCGGGTTCTCTCAGCTGGCTCATGATTCTGCTACTTGCCTCCCACATACCAGAACCATGCTCTCCTGCTTTCTCTTCCAACCACTTCCAGCACTCACCCACAGCCCACCTCATGCCCCTTCCGTTTCTCATCATTTTCAGGCTCAGTCATTTTGTCTTCAATTGTTTTGGATGACCCCACCATGGGCCAACCTCCTAAGCCCAACCTCCACCCTGGGGAGGGTTAAGGCCTTAGGGAAAGGATCTAGCAAGACAGAAGTAACAATAAACTGGAAAGCTACAGGAAGTACAGGATTCCTCCCGGTTGCCTAATTTTACATAAGCCGTAATGTCTGTGCCAAACCAAGCACAGTGCCTAAGGGCTGGCAGGCCTTTCCGCAGTGCAAGTGATTATTATTTATACTACTGCGTATCCTACAATATTTGGATCGTGTGGTTAGTTTCTTCTTTTAAAATATATGAAAAGTATTTGTTCTGTTTTTATGACCGTTAGGAGTCGAGATAAAACTGCTTGCCTTGTTGACGAGTTCAAATCTAGGAATAAGGCAGAAGGCAGACGTGTTCATCTGACAACTAATGTTGAATAAAAAGCTCTTCAAGGATTTCATTTATCACATCCCCCAGATCTGCTCACCAAACGTCCTTACAGTTCGCATGGCACCCTACGTCAGAGGATTTCAAGTCTAATTCTTTGTATGTAGAAGGACCCAACCGAATTACCTAGGTGTTTTTTGTTTTTTTTTTAAATGGTTTAACAGTGTCCTCATTCTCTCTTGGTTCTCTCCGACCACCGACGCTGTCCAGGATTCATTCTGAATACAACTTGGGGTTCCCCTGAAGAGCATATGGCTACGCCTCTGCCCCAACAGCCAACGACTCTCATTCTTGGACATAGTCTTAGTCTTATCCACAGAAATATGGCACTCATTATGCCATGGAGAACTGGCTCTGAGCTCATTTGATTTAAAACATTTAATGATTTATATTTATTTCTATGATGTGAAAACAAAAACAAAAAACCACCACCAACAATGCCATCTTACTCACTCTTCCAAAGTTTACTCAAGCAAGTAGTTGGCAGATAATGTATTTCCCCGTGTACTATTTTAGTAAGTATTTTATTGTTGCCAAACAAAGTCTTAGCCTAAGAAAATAAAAGGAATTTCATCGTAAGGTTATTTGATAATAAAAGTAAGTACAACTAATGAAGTCAGTGAATTAAACAGTGGTGAGCACAGCCAGTGTTTAGGGCTGGAAGGGACCCTAGAGATCTACTCATCACGCTTCCTCTAAGTGAAAAAGCAAGACCAGAAGATTTAGGCACTTTAGCCCCTAAATTGCATAAACACTTCGTTAGTAAGGAGGATAGTCCTCAAAATGACATATTCAGGCTCAGGGCGCTTACGCTATTACACTTTGAATATTTGATAAAAAGCACAGGCAGTACTTCAAATATTGATTTAATTCCATTTATTTGGGAAGGGATTTATCAGTGAAATTGTTGACTCCCTTAAGTATTATGTCTACTCACCTAGTTGAGGCAGAAGTCTTATTTTATTTTATTATTTTTTTTAGTCTTATTTTAATAAAAAAAAAATCTGTGAGATTTCATGAAATAGCTATGAACACAAGACTCTCTGACTGTGTCAAAGTGAATTTCTAAAGCCCAAATGATTTCTTCCTATTTGTGCAAAACCTTCGGAATCTGAGAATTAAAACAAATCTTTAAGTCAGAAATCAACTTTAGCACTTAAAAACAAAGGCAGGACTACTTCAAGACTGCTCATTTTCATTTCAGAGAGCTTTAAAACTAGATTAAAATGTCCTGGCTAACCACTGCTCAGTCTGGGGCTAACCACAAACAAGGAAAAGTCAGGTCAACTCAGCACCTGCCCCCACGTCTCCCCACCCCCACCGGGGAGCCCTCCAGTCTTTCTCTCAGACTCCTTTCGGCCTCCCCTGAGCACCTCTGTTTTCCTCTAACTAGTGTTTTTCCCTTTAGCTCCACGTTTCTCCTTTTCTCCTCAATTCTACATCTTCCACATTTTCTCTTTTTTGACCCTGACCATAAGAAAAAGTCAAACAAAATATTAGCGTTATTTGCTGATTTTTAAAACAAAGTACTGTGTTTTTCTGTTTTTAATTTGAGAAATACAATTTTATATTCCTCCCTAAAAAACATTTTTTTAAGTTTTGTTTTGTTTGGTTTGGTTTGCAGGGGGGAGGTTCTGAGTACTGTATTATTAATTTCCTCTATATCTTAGTCTCTTCCAAAAGAGAGGAGATTCCCATTTGCATGCCTTCCCTGGAAAATATGTGCCCCACCCCGAGCCAGATTTTCACAGGCCAGGTATACACTTTTGGCTGGCTGAGTGTTTCACTTCTCATTTTCCACTTCTGAGTGAACGCCGAAGGTGACAAAGCAGAAACGTCTTGGTCGTATCTGTCTACATATATGCTATTCTACGGTCTAGGCCAAAGTCAACTCCGGAACCACAGACAGAAATGAATAATGCGGAGAATAAAACTCCATTCATTCATCCAGAATAAACTCTTGTACTTAGTAAAATGAAAGCTGGAGTTCAAATTACATTACAGCTCCAGATTTGGCAAAAATAGCCCATCCCATTGTTAATAAATGAAAAGTTACAAAAGCCTTCAGTAGGATTCTATTTAAATCCTTTCAGAAATATATTTTCTGTCAAAACCCCAAGGAAAAGTCTCTTTATAGTATTAGGAATGTGGTTTCTTGAAAAGTATGGTCTCTGGGTTCAATCAATTACTAGTCAATGTTCTCGTAGTATGGTGGTTAACATTTGAATGAAAACAGCTTTATTTTGTCTATAGTTAGGATCAACAGGAGAGGTCTCTGAGGTTAGATATCATATCTTTCCGCTCTCGGTTCAAGGGATTAGAATCATTGCAAGAGAATGCCTGAATTTCTACAACAAATGTCTATTGTTTTCTTGTGGAATGTTATTGACAGATTCTTAAACATGCCTTGGATTCCTATAAAAATGGCTTGCAAGCAAACTGCTTTAAAACAATACAGCATTGTTATATCAATATAACAAAACAGCAAGTTTGGCTAACCTTTAATCCCGGGTGGTGACATGAGTTACAATTTCATGTGCCTTAAAAATGTTTACCGTATAGCTAAACACTTCGTAGGGCTCTTCAGAGTTTGCTTTCTCTCTCCATTCCCACCACAAAGCCCTCCTTTATGTGACATGCAATTACCAAGTATCACACTGATGTCATTCTAGGTCTGCTCAGTTCTTCAGGGGAGCTCTGAAGCTGGCTGAGGTTCTTAGAACACAGCCATACCCCAGAATGACCTACAGATCGCTCAAAGTATAGACCTAGACGGAGACCAGAAACAGGTATTTTTTTAAAAAACTCCTCAGATGATTCTAATATACAGTCAGGTCTGAGAAGCACTAGGACAGGAGCATCTGAAAGAATAAAATGCTGATGACTACATGAGGTGAGCGGCAAAAAGGAAGACTGAGCCGTAAGACCCTTGTCTGAAATCAGTCACGTGACGCTGGTCAAGAGTCGGGACTGGTGTCCGGAACTGTAACCCGTCGTGCAAACACACAGAACCACCAGCTTATGTCTGTCTGGCCAACAAACACGGGGTCTTGAAAAGGGATAATGCCCTGTTGCCTTGGATTGCCGCGGGGGGAGGGGGGGACGCACAGGCCATCGGGAATGCTCTATAAACACTGCCCCACAGCTGGCACAGAGCCCTGTGCACAGAGGAGGGAAGTAAAAAAACAGCAACAAAACCCCAGTTGAATGCCTTCTGAGGGAAAATGCCTTCCATCCTCTCTGTGGTCATGCAGCTGGGAAAACCATCAGCTTCTTGCCTCACACCAGAGACCCTGGGGTGGGGGGCGCGAGCTTTGGAAAGCCCGGGGAGCCTCTCAGGGTTTAGCGGGGCAGCGCCTTGTCAGCTGGGAGAACAGGGGCTTCTAGGGGCTGGGAAGAGGGCAGAAGATTCCAGAATCCACTACCCTCTGACTGTCTGTATCTTCCGTAGCCTGGCCCAGTGTAGAGTCAGGCCAGTGGCTCGTCAGACTTGACTACAGAACTGGAAAGGAGAGAAGGAACGCGGCAAGCGAGGAACCCACTCGAGCTTCCCTGCTGACCCGATTTGCTCCCTGAGATCAGCCCCGGATAGGGGGTGCCTGGGGCTGACAAAGAGGCAGAGAGATGCCTCCCACCCAGGGCTTTAGGCAGCAGAGGCTCAAGCTGTCCAGCTGCGAGAGCCCAACATGGCGGTGCTGACCTCAACCTGAGAGGCGGCCGGTGGGCGCCCACACACAACGTGAGGCTTCTCACTGCTTTCTTTGACTCTTGATGATGCATAAAACGTTAGACCTTTTCAAAGTATATAGATTTTTCCAAGGTTTTTGTTGGTTGGTTGACCATTTTTTGGTGTACAGTTCAGAGCTTTTTACTTTATGTTTCTTTGAGACATCTCTTAGGTAGAATGGGTACTTCTATTTTCTTCGTAGGAGTTAGGGGGCTTTGAGCTATTCTCAATTTCAGTATTTTCATACTCACTGTTGCAATGTTTCAAAGCCTTGTTCTTTATACAGCAATTCTTGCTTCATTTGTGAGAGTTCTCTCTTCAGCTTTTTAACCTTTTGTGAGAAATCAATATAAATAAGAATGTTTGTAAATAATTAGCAACGCTGTTTTAAAAGATAGTCTAACGGTAAACTATTAAACACGCAGACACAGCCATTAGCTTAACATTTACTCTACTGGCTTCCCCGAACATATATTCTATGGAAGGCAGGTTAATTATGTTTAAATTATCAGTGATGTTCATTATCACCTGTATCTACCCTCATGATCACAGTTAGCAACCTTCCTGCAAGCTGGCATCATGACTTTCTCCATACTGTGATAAATAGCTAGGAAGGGGGGAGTCAGAAACCCCAATTTCTGGAAATCCAACACCGCGTGCTCCTCCCTCCCTCCTTCGCTACACTCCAGGACCGTCGGCCACCCCTGTTTCTCGAATGTGTCAGAAAATACCTGCTCTGCTCCTGCAACATGCTGTTTCCCCTGGCTGGAAAGCTTTCCCTCAGACTTTCCAGAACGGACTCCTGGCACTCAGGTCTCCACTCACATGTCGCCTTTTGGAATACGACTTCTCTAACCACCCCAACCATTACTGTTCTGTGTCGTGCACGGTACTTCTCAGGACCTGAAATTTTCTGTGTAGTTGTTTACTGTCTGCCCCCCATGGGAAAGTGAGCTGCATCACACCAGCTGTACCCCGAAGTTCTAGAAGAGTACCAGGCACTATGAGGAATAAAAAGGACAAGGACAAGCACTGTGTGATCAATAAACATCTGTCAATCTGATTAAAAAATATATATATATTTATATGACAGATATTTATTGATACACACACACACACACACACACACATTCTTTTCTTTCCCCTGTTGCCAAATACATTCTTGGTGAAGACAATGCTAAAATGTGATAGGTCAAAAGACTAGCAGAAGCCCGGTTTAGTCACAAACTAAAGGTTTTCCGTGGGCGTCAGCAATTTACTTCAATATTATAGCCTTAAGTTTGAAGCACATTCTGACGGGCAGCATTTCAACGTGCTTTTGAGCTTTTATTTCCTATTTAGTCTATCCATTCCACAAATATTTACTGACTTTCCACTATGTGTCTGTCAGGTCCTGGGTCTCAAGTGTGAATAAAGTAGACATAATCTTTGCCCTCACGGGCCCTTCAGAACAAGGGGGCAGCCAGACCTTGAGCAAATAATCATCCAACGAAACAAATCTTACCAATTACCATGGGGGATAGAAAGGAAAGGTTCAGGATACTTCAGGATGAAAAATGGGGACGGGACCTGATTTGGTGTGAGGAGCTGGACAAAGCCTGTCTGAAAAGGTATTTAAGCAGAGTGGGTCAGTGGGGCTTCGCTTGGTAAAAGGAGGTCCTCAAAAGGTAGACCACAAACCCTAAACCATGGGAAGAGGAAACTCAAGTCTCTGGGATTTGGGGGCACCTGAGTGGCTCAGTTGGTTAGGCATCTGCCTTCAGCTCCAGCCATGATGTCAGGGTCCCGGGATGGAGCCCCTTGTTGGGCTCCCTGCTCAGTAGGGAGCCTGCTTCTCCCTCTCCCTCTGCCTCCCACTCATGCTCTTTCTCTGTAATAAATAAATAAAATCTCTGGGATTTAGAGTATGCTACCATTTGCTGGATTACAGAGGTGGTTTGCAGCACGAAATGCGACTGGAAAAGAAGGCCTTATATAGAGTTTTGAAGCCATGTGGAAGACTTCTTTCTTTTTTAATTATATATATATATATATATATTTTATTATTATTTTTTTTTTACTTGACAGAGAGAGAGAGACAGTGAGAGAGGGAACACAAGCAAGGGGAGCGGGAGAGGGAGAAGCAGGCCTCCTGCTCTGCTGAGCAGGGAGGCCGACGTGGGGCTTGATCCCAGGACCCCAGGATCATGACCTGGGCCGAAGGCAGATGCGTAACGACTGAGCCACCCAGGTGCCCCAGATTTCTAAATCTTAAGAACAAGGAGAACTGGGGAGAAATTTTAAAGCATGATCTGCTTTATGATTTTTAAAAGCCACTGTGATGACTGTGGTGATTGGACCGGAGGGGCCAAAAGGGGTCATTCCACCTGCACTGCAGGCTGGCGTGCAGGCCGTGTCTAGAGAATAGAGCCAGAGGAAGAATATATTTGGGAGGCAGAGTCAACAGGCCTTGGTGATGGGCTCAAGGTGCAGGGTGAAGGAGATGATGTGTCAAGGATCACTGGCAGGATTTTGGCTTGCCAGGAGCAGGCAGGTACACCTGGAGGGTAGGACCAGATCTGGGGGTAAGATCAAGGGTATTCTTTGAGACATTTACTTCTCTGATACTCAGGAAACTTCAAAGGCCATTGCAATATGGAGGCTTGATGTTCAGAAGTTTCTGGACCAGAGATATAAAACTGAGAGTCACTGACATAAAGATAGTATTTTAAATGCATGAGAATAAATAAGATCACATACACAGTGTGTACTGAAAACAGAAGAGAGTCCAGAACACGCCTCGGATATCCTCATCATTCAGAAATCTACTAGAGAAAGGGACAAAACGCACCGCAAAGCGGCGGCAAGAGAAATCGGAGGGAAAACAGGGCATCCTGGAAAATGACAGCAAAAAATTAAGAGGGAGCATAGGCACCACATAGAATAAAGTGACAAGGACAGGAGCGGTGTAGTACTCATGCTCGCACACCTAAGGCACAATACTTAGGTAGTATAGATATTCAATCATTTATCTGTTGATGAATCATCTGTTGAGTTTATCTGAATGTTTAAAAGTTTGTGCCCTAAGGCACTTATGTTTGATGAGGGAAAAGTAAACACAAATCATGATGTTGCAAGGCCCTCTTTAATAACTACAAAGACAGGTATAAACAATGCTCCTAGAATCCACAGGCGCATGGGAGCACTTCTGGCTGGCCTCACAAAGGAGGGGCCATCAGAGCTGGATTGTGAAAGTGCTTTAACATTCACGAAGAACAGTGAGCTCCTTTGCAGTGGATCATAAAGACATTTCAGCTGTAGGATTGGATTATTATCACGTCAAAAGAGCCATCAGTAATCAATAGCTCATTCCACACGCACTTCTACTTCTGACAGCACCTCTAAAGAGCTGTTTACCAAAGACTGTAACATTTTTATTTTAAAACAACCACCACATTTAATCCAAAAATCAATAGCAACTCAAACAGCTGGCCTGAAGCCTGTCTTTACCTCTGAAAACACAGTTGATAGAAACAATGGCGATACTGAGTCCACTTAGAACAATTAAATTAAAACAATGAGCGTGTCTCACTGACATAAAAGAGCATTCTACTTAAAAATCATTTGGACTACGATGACACATCAATTTAAATTTTTTCCGAAAGTTATCATTTAAAATCTAAAATTAACTTTTGAACTTTCAGGCTCTTGTCTGTTTAAGTGATGGGAGGGAGATTTTATTGTGCATTGAGTGACAAAGATGGAGGAAGCTAATCTGTGCTTGCTTTCATTCCACAGTATTTATTCTACCTAACGCTGGCTGTAAGCTACTGTAAGCAACTGCTTCCTTCTTGGGGAGTCTTCATGTGGATTACCTGAATAAACCTGACCTCCAAGTATCAGTGTTGCATTTTATGATGCTGACTCTGAAAAAGTCTGATTTCCATTATAATGACAAGTGAAAATGGGTATTATTTCCAATCAAAGAGCATTTGCAAATTGTATTCGGTTTCAAGAGTATGGTCTGAACTAGTTCAACTACCTTTCTTCTCCCAGGACTATGTGACATCGTTAGCTATTTGAGGATCACTGTTACTACTCTTTAATTCTCCATCCCACCCTCTAATGCAAGCCACAGAACGCAAAAACCAACGTCCTTAGATCATAGCTAAAGGATTAAGCTAATCCTGACTTGCAAAAGTAGCACAATGTAGACTCGACCAGGAAGCAATAATGACAGCTAAAATTCATGAGGGCCTTATGTACTCCCGGCATTGTGCTAAATATAAACGCCTATTTTCAATCCTCACAGCTACTCTATAAATAGTTTTAATTCTTATTTTATAGGTGAGGAATCTCAAACCAAAAAAGAATAAGTAAGTACTGTGCTGTCGCTCACACTGTTAACAATCCAGAACCCAGGACAAGGTTTTAAAAACTATAATCAAAAGTTATAGTTACTAATGGCATGATAGTACAAACATATAAGATCAGAGATAAACTAGAATTTTGGAAAATGACCCAAATAAAATCTAAGGTCCTTATTTTACCTTAGAAACTTCGTTATTCTTACAGCCCAACCAAGTTGAACACACAAATAGCCCCACAAACCCTAGAGTTCATGCTTTTTGTCTCCTACATACTCAACATTCTGCCACAGCCAACCATCTAATTATAGACTTACTTCCAAGGAATCAAATCTCACAACCCAGAGTATCAAATTGGAGGCAAGAGACCCATGGCTTTTGCACATTTCCCACCTTCTATTCTGACTACACCAAGGCAACTGACATTTTAAATTGATTTTAAAGTTATTTCTGAAAACCAGGAAGATGCTGTGATTAAATGTGATGAGTATGACTGGAAATCACGGATCTTCTTCCCATTTCCGACAATCCCGGTGTAATAAGTTTTATTTTAAAAGGAGGAGGAAGAAGAAGACAGTAAGAGAAAAGTAAATTCCAGAAATCTGTGGACCTTGGAAGGATCATAAGACAGGCAGGTTTCAGAAGTTTGCCCCAAAAGTGAACCCTGCAACATTAGAGCTATAATGAGCAAAATGGCATTTTACTAATGACTACCTTCCCTTTTCACCACTTTCTCTACTGTCTTGCTGATACTGTCGTCTTAGGCAAGCCAACAAAGGGCAACTGTCAACTTGCTCCTTCTAGGAATCCTTCTCCTCACTACCACTTCCACCTCCCTGAAAATCCTTCACCACATCTCATCTCATCTCAACAGTCACCTTTAAAGAAAATGAGAAATCAGCTCCAGATAGATAAAGGATCAATAAAACAACTTTGCACTTTACTAAAGAACAGAGGAAAACAGAACCCCACATGCTGTTGGAAC